GATTTCTACTGTTCCGTGTCATCACCTGCGCTCTCCTATTGTCAGGCTATGTTTTCTTCTTGAATTGTGATGATATACATAAAAAATTTGAACAGTTTGATGCAAATAGATATTTGTAATATAACCTCAAAGTAAGGCGCTGACACGGAAGAGTAGAAAACTATGAAAATCAAGGAGGCCATAAAGGCGTCCTACAATATTTAAGGCCTATTCATACTCAGCCGTGACGTGTCAGTGCTGTGACCGGCACCTGATCCGCCCGGCGAAACTAAAAAGATTCTTCCTGAAATTGGGATGAGCTGATTCACACTAGACCGGCACGTGGAAGTGGCCGTGTTCTCAGTACCCTCGACGACGCCGTACCGTGATCATCGCATTGTTTTGGAACGATGTTTTTCGATTTTCACGGCCATGTTTTTATATAATTTCGTGTATATTTTGATATAATTGGTCAAAAACATGAATGATGAAAAGCTAATTGAATTTGTACGCGTGCATCCCGTGCTGTAGAACCAGTCAAATTCAAAATACGTGGACTTCCGTTTTATTCTCGTTTCTTCTTCTTCATCTTTCGTAGGTGGTAGACGGTCTCTGACACGTGTTCCCTTGCCAGAGTCCGTGTGACGTCCTCCCTTTCCCCTGTGTTCCCCCTATAGCACCACTGTATCCCATGAGTGTTTAGGCCTTAGGTCTTCGTGTTAGTCGGAGTATAATAAAAATCCAGAATTAATGCAATAATAGCAAGTTCAACCTAAGAAAATTTTGCCATCTCGACCTCACGTGAACACAACTGCACTGTCAGAGCATGGAGAAAAATACTGACCGGTGTGAGTTGAAAACACTGTGAGCACACGTCAGTGAGAATCACTGGCACGTCATGGCACTGTCACGTCACGGCTGAGTGTGAATAGGCCTTTATGGGGGAACGACTGACGATACGGCCCTAAGACGCATCGCAATGGACTAATGAATGCCTGTGCTATGATACTTAAAGTGACTAGATGTTACAAAAGTTTCAGAAAGCAGCACGTGAATTTACCGATGCAATTCCACGAGCTACGCGAAACTCTTATTGTTATTTAATAATATTCTGATTTTATGCTTCTTTTAACCAATCTTATAGACAAAACGATGTATCTGACCTTTTGGGCCTTTTTTTCCACCAAAGTAGCATCGTGGGCAGAAGCATAAATACCACTATGAAGAGCTTAAAGAAATTTTATTAATCGAATTTTTGAACTGCTTAAGGCTAGTAGAACAGGGAAATGCGTTCTCATGTAGAACGGTATTGATACCCTAGGGACAAAGAAGCAGTCATATCGACCAGGTCTCCATGTATGAAGTTCGACATGGTTAGGATGAGAGACCGAATTCAGGCAGGCCTGTCTGGCAGACACATCGCGGCACCATGGTGGTCAGCTCTGAGCTCCTTCACATAGCGGTAGAAGAGGTCTAGAAAGGCTTTTCGTCAGTCGGATAGCCCTCCTGCGAACAGGATCGAGCATGGATAATGTAGTCGAGGCGGCAGAAACCCAAGCATGTAAGCAGATTCTCGTAGCTAGGTCTGACCTAGGCCTGGTACAGAGTGCGAAGGTTATGTGGATAAATGAGATGTGTTCGTGCCAGATCAAGTCCTCGGTGATATGGACTCCAACTAGTCGAAATCAACAACTTTTTGATAAAGCTAGGCCGTCCATCGAAACCGGGTTAGCTCTCTAGGGCGCTTCCTGTTAGTCAAGGTACGGTACTTTGTTCTGGAAGCATTGAACTGTACCAGATTTTTACGTCCTGAAGCGGTGACAGCTTCCATGTCTCCCGTTAGTCTTCTTTTCTCCAGCTCACCGGCAGAGATCGGCTTAATGAACAGAACTGTGGATCGGATTAACCCTTAACCGATCATGTGGAGTCTGACAAACCCTGCGGTAAATAAACTGTCCCGTATCTTCCACGGTAGTAACGGCTCCTGGCCAATAGGGTCACCTAATCCCTCGCCTATTGGTACCAGACAAGTCATACAATGCTCAGTGCGTTCGCTTTATTTGAAGACGAAACACAGGCATTATTTGGTGTGTAGGGGTCTGCCAGACATCACCTGTGCGTTTATGTGAAAATTATTTAAATTGGGATATGACCGGTCCATCGAAAAGAGATTGGTTAAGTGACAAAAATTTTGAGGAAACTGTCCACAAGTGGTACAGTGAAGTTGACGACACTGCTAGTGATATAGATAGTGCTGCAGCGGACGAAAATATTGCGTCAGAACACGACACGGACTCAGACTTCTCGGCAGGCGGTGATAGTGACCAAGAAAGTGACACACATCAGACGAACAATAAATACTTCTATAGCAAAAACCGCTTTAGATGGTCATCTACTGAAGTTGTTCCTTCATCGCGAACTAGGAAGCACAACTTGGTGACAAACGTTCCTGTGATAAGAGGACGAGCCCGTCATTTAGGCAACAAGGCAAGTCCTATAGCCATATGGAATTTACTTTTGTCTGCGGAAATCCTACAGCCGGTTCTCGAATGGACAAATCAGAAGCTTTCGCAAATGCGCTCAGGATACGCAGATACAAATAGTATCAGTCACTTTAGAGATACCGATATAGTTTGGCTGAAGGTTTTTCTTGGCCTGTTGATATACACATCAGTATTCAACTCCAATCATGAAAGTATCGATACAATATATACTACTGATGGAACTGGTCGAGATATATTGAGAGCAGTAATGAGCCGGAATCGATTTGCAGTTCTTTTGATTGCTTTGCGTTTTGATGACCCAGCTACAAGATCGATTCGTAAAAAATAAGACCCAGCGGCAGCAATTTCGGAAATATTTTAGAAATTTATTGAAAATTGCCAAAATTGTTATGGTATAGAGGAGTCACTAACCATTGACGAAATGCTTGCTAGTTTCAGAGGACGTGTCCATTTCAAAATGTATATGCCTAACAAGCATAAGTACGGGATAAAGGTGATGTGCCTTACAGACGCCAGAACTAGTTATCTCTATAATGCCTACATATATACTGGTGAAGGCTCTGATGGCTTTGGGTTGCCTGCAGCAGAAAGAAGATTTTCTAAGCCGACACAATCAGTGATACGTCTTGCAAAACCTCTTTTCGGAAGTAACAGAAATTTAACTGCTGACAATTGGTTCGGCTCTATAGAACTTGTTGACCTGTTAATGAAAAATGGACTAACTTACTTAGGTACACTAAAATAGGCAGCAATATTAGTAGAATTTTGAGGCTACCGGAAGCAAACGAAACACAGAATGAAGGGGAGCTTTTGCTTACAACACGTAAGACATGCTATTTGTGTCCTGCAGCAAAAGATCGCAAGACAAAGTATCTCTGTGTGCAGTGTAGACGGGCGATTTGCTTGCAGTGCTCAAAGCCGCTATGCAATACATGCGCAAAAAAGACGGTTAATTATAGTAGTTTCTGCTAGAGGAGCATTTCAGTGTTATTTTCCTTTGAGTTCTATGTTTTTATATAGCTTAGGTTCCTAAAAAATGTTTCAGACATATTTTCCTACTTAGGTCGCTAATGTTTTTTTTTTTGTGAGCTTTTAAGAATACATGTTTAATTAGGTCAAGTTACGATATAGTTTTTCAGATATTTGTTGTTGTCAGAAACCAATTTAGAAACAAACCGTTTTTCCTCATTTACATGTAGTAGTATGATCCCTATTGGTTTATACATACCAATAATAAATTATTTCCAAAAAAATTACTTGTTTTACTATCGGCCCAGTTAGTGGTCTGTGAGACCCCACATGGATCTTTGCATCCAGATGGCTCTCATGGTAGGTCAAGGGTTAATGGTACAGGAAAGGAGATAGTTGATGTGTAAGAGGAACAACGTCGGAGCCAAGACCGAACTTTGGAAACACCCGCGTTGAGATTGTGAGATGAAGGGGAGTAACCGCTGAATTACGATGGATACCTTGCTGCCAGAGCTACCCATCTGCAAAGCTTCTCTGGGAGGTGATAGGATGGCAGTTTGCATAAGAGACCAGCGTGCTACAGCTGACCGAATGGTTCCATGACATCAGGAGCAACGAAACGAACCTCACTATAAGTCTGATTGAGCTTACTCCACGGTTATGTGACATAATCGAGGGGGTTCTTCATGGATCGCTGGTGCCGGAAAGCATACTGCCTGGCATTAGTCGAACCGTGACGTTCAATTTACACCAGAAGATTGCAATTAATGTACATCTCCATCACCTTACTTATACCTGGCAGCAGACCTGTTGGCCGGTAGTTGTGAGGGTCGATCTTAGATCCTTTTTTATATAGGCTAGACATGAGCAAATTTCCAGTTCGCTGGAAAAGTACCGGATTCATTCCTCAAACCTTTGCATTTTTAATGATGAACCATGGGTACCGTTATTGTGAACGAATACAGACATACACAATTAACTGAAAAGACATTCTGAGAGTTCACCCTATACGTCTGAAGTTTTAGGTAGACTGAGTAAAATGTTCTAACTGGTACAGATTTGGTTTAATAGCTAGGTCAATGTTCGTTTAAAGACGTAACTCTAGTTGATAAATAATGTAGCCAGAACTGTTTAAAACCAAGATCGAAAAACCAGATGGTTGGGGGTAACCCAGCGGATTTTCACACTTCGGCGATGATAATCACTGCATCAGAACATTAAACGTATATATGGTTGGTGTATATACGTATATAGCTTTTAACTTAATTGTGACGCTCTGTACACGTTTACAACACGCTGCTCTGCTCGTCATTTTTGGAGATTCCATGGTATGACAGAATGGGTACTACGATGAAAGAGTGATAAGATTTTTTTTGGCATATCTTCAGGAACTCTAGCACAGTCACTCTGTTCGATTACGACGCGCTGTAAAGCAATGTTGAAACTACAATTGTATAAAAGCTGCAGTCAGATTAGACCAAGCGGTGGTGCTAAAAAAAGTGATCAAAGGAAGTAACGCACTATTTAAGTTGATTCCATGCCTTTCAGATGTTGATCGAGCAATTCCGAGCAAATCTGACTACGACATGGTGGTAGAGGAATTCACAAAAAGATTGCTGGAAAGAAGACAGCAAAACAGGGCGATTATCAATGGTAAAACGTGGGAAGAACGAGAATTTTTAGCGAAGTTTCCGGGATGGAATGAATCAACAGTTGGTTATCTGCATAGCTTATTTCTAAGTTTCTTTAAGGACGAAGATAAGATGTTGGACTTTAAAGGATTGTAGGTAGCGCTTGACGTTGAGAAAATCACAGGATGAATTTCAGAAGTTACACTGTAGTTTCCTCTAGTTTGTGTGTTTTAGAATGTCTTGGAGATAGAAGCGACCATAGCAAGAGATTGAAGCGGTTTGAAAATGCAGATAGTGATAATGATGGCATGATTGACTACACGCAGTACTTAGAGGTAAGTCAATATTTTTTTCTCGGAAAATCATCGATAATCGATAATCATTTTCGGCAGTATGACAAAAGCAACTGATGATATGGAAGGAAGGTGCGACTGGCACTTGATTTCAGTCGATGAACGTAATCTTCAAATGTTCACATCTGATATGTGCCGGCACGCTAGGTTGCCAAATGTTCAGAAACACACGGCGGGGAAAGCAGTAGTGTAGATATGACAATCTTAGTTGGCCTGACGCCATATTCTGTCATTCTATGTAAACTGACTTACTTGGGCCAGGTTGCTAGTTGTATGTTCAAACAAACATATCATACGTCGCTTAAATCACTCTTTAACACGCTTATATCAGCTTGGCCTGTATGTACGTATGTAACGGCATCTTTGAGCATAATTTTCACCAATTTCCAGAAGAATTAATTTGAAACTTCGCACACGCATCACGTACCGATAACAATGCAATATCATGACATGTCCATAAAAAACTAATTGATTATCGAACTAAAATGAAAAATAAATGATAGTTCAAAAAGCCTAAGAAAAAAGACGCTTTTATAGCTAACCGAACTAAAAATTATAAAAACAAATTTAAGTACAAAGATTTTATATTACGGTAGTAGATGATCATACAATCAATCATATTTAATGACCTCAAAATAAAATTATAATAAAATTTAACTTTTTAACAGAATAATTCAATTCAGGGTAAAAAGCGTGGGGTACATTTTACTACATTTTCATAACTCTCCTCTCATAAATAGTTGGCAATATAATGATTGTAACATTTTATATATCAAGCACCCCACGCTTTTTACCCTGAATGGAATTATTCTGTTAATAACTTAAGTTTTATTATAATTTTATTTTGAGATAATTAATTATGATTGATTGTTCGACCATCTACTACTGTAATATAAGCTCTTTGTAATCAAAAATCATTTTCTAACTTTTAGTTCGGTTAGCTATAAAAGCGTGTTTTTTAGTATCTTTAAACTATTATGTATTGACTAATGTTTTGTAATTACAGTTATCGACCCTGAGTTGTTAGTGTGCAATCATCTTCTGGTGTATTAGATCTTTTTGTACATTTTCAGTTGATTTATAACTACGATTCTGCTCCAAAGAAGAGTACCGGCCACTTAGCAAAGAGATGTTATAAAGCAGCGGATAAGGCGCAATTCGTAAACAGCTTGCCAATGGAGAAACAATTAGAATATGGTTTGTTTTGAATAAAAAGCAAGATTTGTTTAGATGAAGTTTTTATTTATTCCGTTTCCAGTCTGAGAATTCTCAACTTTCCTTGATCTGCCATCACACAAGCTGCGTCGTTATTTCCACCACAGTATTTGGAAGACGAGAATACCGTCAGCAGCTTTCCTTTTTGTTGCAACTGAAATTATTTTACATCAAATTGAGCTAGGAAGTGACTTTGGAATATACGATTGTGAAACGGAAGCACACGCTATATATGAAATGGATGGATTTATTCCATAGCCCCTTGAAAGCGTAGTGATTGAACGTTCCAGCAGACCTAAAGCTTCCCCTGTGGTAGACGTCTCTGTGTAGTCTACTTACAAACACGCAAACACATAGAAGCGCATGATCCATTGCTTCAGATAGATGGACGCACTTGAAACGTTTCGACTGCAGATTTGAGAAGTGGATACTGGCAGGTAGAAATGGATCCTGTGGGCAGCGAGATCACTTCCTGTATGGTTGGATCTGATCTAAAGGAGATTCCACTGATGCCATTTGGCCCATGCAATGATCCAGTGACGTCTGGGAAACGGATGGAAGATGAGAGGCTGTGCTGAAAAATCTGACTGGTCTTTCTCGATAGAACGATTTTAATAAGCCGGTTATTTGGAAAACTTTGGAAGACCTCAACCAAGGTATTCCAGAAACTCCTATATACCACTTAGTCCTGAATTCGAGGTTGCAACTGTTACAGAAGCAACTTCCTGGATAATGTAGCTAGCGGCAGAGGCATCGTTGGTCCTGAAAGTGACCAAGTAATGGACAGTGGACAAGCACCCAGCCAGGAGCTTCCTGGACTTATTGCAGTTATTACCATCGTTCGGTCGTGATGTTCTTAGAACAAAACTCCTGACCTATGTGACGCGCTGAGGCGGCTGAAGACAACCCTGTACTCGTTTATCCAAGGATTTTGTTTGTCAACGGAGGAAACAGAATTCTGTTCACCTTTTTATCGAAAAACCTTAAATCCAAAGATGATCGCTTGTGGAATATTAAATCATCAAAATACTATAAACGTTAGTGCGTAAAAGTACAAACTATCATCTACCCTTAGTATCGAATAACCATCTGGGCTAAATATTTAAACACTCAATGCAATGTATCAATAATAAGTAATTATCTTGCAAACTTAATTTGTGAGTCCACTCTGCCCTTCTACGGCACCCTATGCCGCCCCCGCAGGATTTATTATTAGTTAAATAGTCAGCTGCAACCCCAGCTGCATCCTCTTACTACCTTTAGAGAAGGCCAAGCTAATGCCCTTCAGTAGGACCACGTCGTCTGACGTTACATGCGGTTGTTCGACTTGGCTGAAAATCGAGATCCTGATTAGGATCGTCTCTTTGGTACATTTCCGGAAGCAGAGTTATCTCGTTTTGCATCTTGGTATATGTTGGCCTTTGGGAATTCAGGTTGAACACCTGTATACTATTCGTGAGAGCATAAAATAATGGGATCTGGATGCCCATTCACTCTCTTGAGCTAAATTTAATAGTTGTGCCGTTTGAACTAGCCAATCAGAGTCGAACTGTCCGGTCTCGCTTCCGAACAACATTTCATACTCCAGTCGGACTAAGAAATTTTGAGATAATATTGCCGTTACATTCACCTTACACAAGCGAGCCGCGATTATAACTGGGATAAAGACTGACAAGCCTCCTTTGAAAATTTTGGAAGTTAACATTTGCCGAATGTCTAAGATCAAAGGTCTTAGAAAACATCTTTAATTGGTAGGGACATATGAAAATCATTAGTGGTTCTTGGTCCATTAATCTTTGATGGAAGCAATTATGGAATTAGAATTGTATTAGCTTAGCAGTAAGTTGTGTAGGTATTACCAATATACTTGTATAATTAGTTTCAAAACTGCTCACCTACTTGGTAGGCGGGGTCGGCAAAAAGGGTCAAAGGTGGCCTAGTTGTTAGTCTTCTCACCATTACTTTAAGTACTCGTATACTACTTGTGCCGACTACCTACTGGTTTTTGTTTTATAAAAAAATCACCTCATGATCATGCGTTGAAGTCGACTTTAATTCTTAACTTATTCCACTATCAACACTAAAATGATGCTTATGGTTACTTTGTTTCTAAAACTAACTTTTACTTGGAATGTATAAATTTGAAAATGTTTCACGCAACAATGACTTTGTTGTTGTTAAATGTTATGAAAGTATACCAGTAAATGGGTGTTTTTAATGTAGCTCTGTGAATGTGTAGCTAATTTCTATTTCAATTGAGTAAAGAATGATATAACTGATTTCTATGCCAGAACGTTCAAGTTTATCACTTTAGGAATTTTCGGTTTATTAGCGAAAATATTCTGAATTCTAAAACTTCCTGTGACTTTCTCTGATATATTTTTAACTGACTTGATATGCGTTACCAGTATCAGTAAATATCAATCTGGAATTTACGTATAAGGTAGAAAACAGACGGATCGACTTTTGTCGACTCGACCGTCGAGTCGGCGGTCGAGTCGACGCATGGTGTAAATAACTTTATATACAAATGAAACACACAGATACTCGACGCGGCGCCCCGCCGCTTGAAGTCGAGTCGACATATGATTTCCCCGCGACTTTGCAGCGGCACTCGACGCAGCATCGACACATCATGCCATGTTCTGAAGTGTATCAATTCAGACGCATTTTATTTCGAAATTCACACACGTAAGTACTGAATCAGGCGATGGAATATGTTGGATCACGGATTTTATAAATTCCGCTATCTTCTCAAATTAAAAGATATTTCAGGGTCTGTGCCGTCGGCTTGACCCTGGTGAGATTACGTCCCCATTCCCTACCCTAATGTATGCCCCTGTGCCCCTCCCTCTACTCCTATTCTACGTCGGCTAGCCCTTCTGCGCAGTCGCGGCCCAGCGTTTGCCTTCCGTTGTAACGCCACGAATGCCGCGATGCAGGAGGATCCTCAGTACGCTTTATTCCGCGCTAGTGTATGCTCCTATTCTGTACATATTCTTCGCGAGAGTGAATACAGTGCATTATGGTATGATGGTAAGTCCCCTTTGTTTTGATTTCATTCCCTCTACTCGAAATTATTAATGCCTAAACGGCATGTGAAGTTGTTTTGTTATTTACCTAGCAGACCGACATGTTGTTTGAGTTCATTACTTCAGACATCCTTTATGATTCAGAAACATCAATTTTATTGTTGTGAAGTGACTTGCACCCCCGGTCAATCACTTACATTACCGAGGGTAGTTCGCACCAAGCAGCTATGTACCTCCTTGTAGTTCCTTCTTGCTATATCAGCAGTTTCGGCTCGTTATACGTAACCGTCGGCCTCGACTTTCGAGCCGTCGGCTCAACTAGCTTGAATCAGTCGTCGGCTGGATTCGTGGACCCGACGACTGGAATTACGGAGACGTCGGCCCGATTCTGAGCGGTCGGGTCACTTAACAGGCCGTCGGATTGTTTCGTCGAGCCGTCGGCTCATTTTTGGGCCGACTGATCAAGTTATTAGCTATCACTTCAGAATACCTTGGCTGTAGAGATTCTAACGGGTTGCTGTTTCTTGTCTGCAGGCAGCTCCAGGACCGTCCACTATGACTCTGGGCCAGTTAGCGGATCCGTCGCCAGAAGATCATGGAGACTCGCGGATCCTCAACCGCATTAAACTACTGGCATCGCAACACCTTCCGGATGGTTGGAAGAACTGGAAGGTGGCCATTACAGAAAGAACATCTCTATTTGAGGATCCAATGGATCCTCAGCTGATCAATAAGTTGAGATTTGCCCTTCCAACGGTCGGACTAGCACAAGCATTTATCCCGGATTGTAAGAACCTATCGGAGAAAACATATCGGGAAATGAAGGTCCGGATGCTGAATTGGCCTTTTTGTGTCGGTCTGGTTATTGGTCCTCCAGCCTTGGCGTGTCGAATAAGGGGATCTGCAGTTCATCACGAGCTAGTAATGAGCTCTCTGGACTCACTTCGGCCATTGTTCATCTCAAGAAAAGAAGCGGCTCGGAGATTGGCAGCAGATTCTTCGGAGGGCGAGAGTTCATCAACGGGTGCTTCTGATCCGAGGCCAAGAAAGATGAGTCGAATGGATAAATTGGAAAGGAGCCAGGAGGAACTAAAGATATTAGTTCAGAATGTTTTGGAGAAGATCGAACAACGTTCCGACCAAGGCACGTCTATCCAAGATGTTAGGTATTCAGATGAGGAATCGGATTTGGATGATCAAGAAAATATTGCTCCATCTTTAGACCTAGGCTTCAGTGCACCAAACGAGACGGATATACTAGAAAGTCCCATAGATCACTTGGACTTCAGTTTTGTTCCGGTAACCAAGGAGCAAGAGCCTCTAGTCCCTAAAGCGGACGCACATATTGAAGCCCAGGGGGTGAACTGCTTGCGGCTAGGGCAGGCTTCTTTCAATAAAATCCGTTATGTTGATGCACAGAAGAAACTGCAGGCCTCGCCTGTTTTTAGCGCCTTAAAAGTCAACCCGCAACTTTCTAGAAATAAAGGAACGCCTGATATGTTAGCATCTATGGATGCTACTTTAGGCACTATTTTGCATGGCTTACTTTTACAACGAGAAGCCTTTTCGCATTCAGTAAAGGCCTTAGCGGCAAAGTATCCGGAACTGGGGAAGGATATCCGGGAGGAGTTCTGGGATCCTGATGGCGACTTTAAGGTCACATCAGATGCTTTGGTGCAATATGTGTGCGGTAAGCGCGCAGAAGTAATTGAAAAGAGAAGAAAGGCACTGCGGCCGCTCAATACACATGTAGGGGCGCTTATGGATGCAATTCCGCCCTCGAAGACTCATCTGTTCGAGGAAGAAGCATTTACCGACCTGATAAAACAATTTGGGCAGTTTTTTCGGGCCTCGAGGCCAAGATTTGAATCTCAAAACAGAGATGCAAGCTCCTTTCGTTCTCATTTGGCCACGCGAAAGATGCCACAGTCTACAATGGCAGGATCAAGCCAGCCGAGGTCATACACGAAAGATGCTGAGAAGAACCGATATAAGAAAGGAACCAGAAAACGCAGTTATTCCGTTTCAGCAGGATCATCGAACCCACACTCCACCCCCGTTCGTTGCAAGAAGCGCTGACAAAGATCAGTTCAGAGCAGGTCGCTTAAAGTATTATGCAAACCAGTGGCAAAAGGAAGGGGCGCCCAATTCTATTCTTCAAATAATCAGAGGTTATTCAATCCCTTTCATCCGAAAACCTCCATTATTCCACTTCTCAACCAGACACAGTTTTTCAACACCTCGTATGGAATCAGAGGTAGCGCAAATGCTAGAATGGGGTGTACTGGAAAGATCCCACTACTCGACGGGCTTCACTTCAAAGATGTTCACAGTTCCAAAAGCAGATGGTACCAAGCGACCAATTTTCAACTTAAAAGCTCTGAACGAATTTCTGCATCCAAACAAGTTTCACCTAATCAACCATTTAAAAGTCCCAGCCTTCCTACAAAAAGGGGACTTCATGGTCAAAATCGACATTGCGCAAGCATATTTCCACATCCCAATAAAGGAAAGATATCGAAGATTCCTCTCAGTGTTGCATCAGGGAATGCTATATCAAATGACCTGCCTGCCTTTTGGTCTGTCGAGCGCCCCTTCAACCTTTGCCAAGGTGTCAAATTGGCTAGCGAGCAGGTTGCGAGTCAGAGGGATACGTGTAATCGTATATCTGGACGATTTTCTGTTGGCGCATCAGTGCCCACTCATCCTGAAAAAACAGGTTTCAGAAGTAATGTTTTTTCAAGAGGCATTGGGATGGATTATAAACAGAGAGAAATGTATGTTGGAACCATGTACAACAGTGGAGTATCTAGGCATAAGGTGGGACACGGTAGGAAACACAATATCCCTTCCAAAGAAGAAACAAAAATGTATTCAGAAGACTTTGACTTGGGTTCAAACTCATCAACGATGGAACTGGCGCCAAGCTACAAGTCTCATCGGAAGGTTGAACTTCGCCAGCTTCGCGATCCCCTTAGGCAGGCTTCACGTTCGGGGGATGCAGAGAGCGTGCCTTCTCCTATCCGAATCAACGCCGAGGAAATATCTTCGAGCTCCCCCAGCTGTGTTATCAGCTTGTCAATGGTGGATCCAAAACCTTCACAAGGTGTCGCCAATTTTCCACCAAAACGCAACGATTTTCCTAACAACGGATGCATCGGACATAGGTTGGGGAGCAGTCTTAGAAAACGAAGCCTTGAAGGGATCCTGGTCTCACTATCAGAAGAATTGGCATATAAATGTCAGGGAAATGTTCGCTGTGTATGCTGCCATTCGACAGCGGAGTGGTCGACTGATTGGGAAGTCGATTCTTCTACAGTCAGACAACAAAACTGTGATAGCATACATAAGGAAGCAAGGCGGTACAAAGTCAAAGATGTTACTGGATGTTACCGTAAAGCTGCTGACCCTTTGCAGTCGTCTGGATATCACTCTGACAGCTCACTTTATCCCATGCATATGCAACGACGTAGCAGACAGCCTGTCTCGCAACAAGGCCCCTCCCGATTGGCATCTGTCTATCGAGTTGACCAATCAGATTTTCCACCGTTTCGGAACCCCGGAAATCGACCTCTTTGCTTCAAAACAGTCGAAGGTGGTACCAGCTTATGCGTCGATGGACGTACGGGACAAACAGGCGGTTTTTGTAAACGCCTTCAGCAAGAGGTGGACTTATTCCCTGGCATATGTATTTCCGCCTCCAGCACTAATCCCCCGAGTCCTCCATCACCTGAACTCAGCGAAGGGAAGATACATTCTGATCACCCCCAATTGGGACAAGGTGTTTTGGAAACCGGATCTAATATCTCGGGTGATAGAGCCGCCTTTCAAGCTACCGGATCTGAACCTCCACTTGACAGATGCGTTGACCGGGCAGCCATTGAGCCAGGCTCGAGATCTTCGTTTGGTGGCATGGTTGGTACAGGGTGGGCTGCACTCGTACGAGGATGGTGTGAAGAAGATATTCAGCTGTTAGAAACTTCTTGGCGTGGTTCCACTTGGAAGACATACCGTTCTTCGTGGCTTGAATGGCTGAGATGGGCTAAGAGTAGGGAGATGTCACCTACCAATCCAGATCCCTCAGGGGTAGCACAATATTTGGCGTATCTTTTTCGTGTTAGAAAGCTGTCTCCCGCCACTGTGAAGTTACACAAGTCCGTGATATCGTCGCTGGCCAATCCCCAGTTAGGAAGTCATCTCACGTCTCATCCTGTAGTCAAGCACATACTAAAGGCAATAGACATCAGTAAACCTATCCCTGGAAAGAAGTTCGTGTGGGATGTGTCCGATTTGATATCTTGGATGAAAGCCGATCAAGTGGACGAGGCTAGCTTATTCCAAGTCTCTCGACGGTTAGCATTGATCCTGCTATTGGCCTCTGGACGAAGAGTGCATGACTTGACTCTATTAAGGATGAATCCTGATAGGTTATTAATGGAAAGCAAGTGTGTAACGTTTTGGCCGGAGTTTGGATCCAAAACAGATAAGAGTAATTATAGGCAGTCGGGGTGGAAACTGCTCCAAAACGACGATACGAGCTTGGACCCCGTTTATTGGACGAAACGTTTTTTTATCTGTTTCTGCGCATAGAAGGGCAGCAAAATCCCTGGATTCACTCTTTATCACTTGCCGGGCCCAGGTACGGCCTGCTTCAAGAGCCATCATAGCTGGATGGGTAAAGACAGCATTGGTTGGGGCAAATATTTTCACTTCGCCTGGCAGTATCAGAGCTGCGGTAGCATCGTCAAGATGGGAAGGTGAGCTTCCGTTAGACACCATTCTAAAAAACGGCAACTGGAAGGGTCAAGAAAACTTTTTCAAGCACTACTTTAAGGAAGTAAAACGTGTGTCTTGTCAGAGACCTCTTCATAGTATTTGTAAGGAAACATTTGTTCCTATTTAGCAGAGTACCTGTTATTTTAAATAATGGTTTAGTTCATTTGTTTTTTGTATTCTTATGCTGTTCAATAAATGTTTGAGTTGTGTTAGAGCTGTGTTCTTTTACATATGCATACACACACGCGCAGACTTCTTTCTTAAGATGCAAAGTACCTGATAATATTTCTTTTTATGGAATCACAGTACGCTTTTCTACGTCGTCAGATACCAAACACTTCTCACCAGGGTCAAGCCGACGGCACAGACCCTGAAATATAACTCGTTTTTCCCCCGAAGGGTAGAAAACGATTATTTCAGGTCTTGCCTAGGCTTGACCCCAATAAGTCCTTGACGACTATTATGAGGTACTGAGGATCCTCCTGCATCGCGGCATTCGTGGCGTTACAACGGAAGGCAAACGCTGGGCCGCGACTGCGCAGAAGGGCTAGCCGACGTAGAATAGGAGTAGAGGGAGGGGCACAGGGGCATACATTAGGGTAGGGAATGGGGACGTAATCTCACCAGGGTCAAGCCTAGGCAAGACCTGAAATAATCGTTTTCTACCCTTCGGGGGAAAAACGAGTTATATTTATTTTGAAACAATATCTTTTTTTTAATTTTGTATTCATTTAGATTTTAGGGATGGCACACGAAATAGACCCAGACCTCATAACAGTATTTTCTTTTCTTAATTCTTGTTCTATAGCAGTGAGAAGTTCATAAAAAGAAAACTGGGACATTCTTGTGAAATTGAGTAATTTTTCTTCGTCCTGTTTTAGCTGTGGCCACAATATAGTAAAAAAGCCTTTCTCTTTGCGCTGTGAAATAATTGGATGAATCCAGAGACGCCTCCCTTTTTTTTTTTCTTCATTCGTCTCCGGTAAAACAAGTACAGTAGCATTACATATTCATCATCTAGGTCTAGGTCCATTGCTTTTTTGATTGAACACTACTACCAAACCTGCTCTCGTTGCCAGGGACCGTGGGCCGCGTCGAGCTTACCGCGGATACGACACGCGACTGCCTCCTCGACGAAAGTGGTCGCCCCGTTTGAACAATTTTTTCGACCGTCGACTCGACGGTCGAGTCGACGAAAGTCGCTCCCGTCTGTTTTCTACCTAAGAAGCAGATTCGGAGGAACAAATATTTTAATTACTTATGATTAACCTAACCTTCGACTACTGCTTCGGCCTTATAAAATTCATCATCGGCTTGGGCCAGAAGTCTGACCTTCCGTCGGACCGTAAGTGTGAATATCTAAAATAAGTACCTGGAAACCAGCTTGTGCAACTTCGTGTGCTCTGACTATATGAGTCAACTGGTTTGCCTTCAGAAACCTTTCCAATGCATCAACACTGAAAACGTGAGCAGTTCCTCTTCTGACATTTACTGCAAACCCTTCGTTCGCTAGCAGCTCCATTGCAACTTTGTCATTTACAGTCTTCGGTCTGGAATGCTTTTTTTCAGTTACAAATAGGAATATCCAAGTTAGTGCTCTTTCCCTTTCCCGTTTAACTTCTCAGATTCTGTCATTTTGACACAATCAGAGGCATGCGTCTATAGATGACTTATAGAGTGAGAGCTGGCTGCAAGGATCCCGGCCAATCAATCAAGAGAATCAAATGCCTATGCCACCCATATCGACAATGACGATAATCATTGTGTGCCTGGGCGGGTACTCGTATCCCAGGGTAACACGTCACTGTACCAGAATGGTATGTCAAAACCAAAAAAAACAATCCAACCAGTAGCTATAAATAAATTTCCTATGCGGACACAGGCCTACAAGCACGCAAATCGAATTCTTCATGAACATTTGAACGTCACTGTCTAATTCAACCAAATTTTGACAGCCTGCTAACCGTTTTAAGCTTTATTTTATGGAAAATAACTCATTCAGAACATCAGCGGCGAACTTATCGCGATACTGTTGATATTTTTTAAATCCTGGCGAATAATGGATTTTTTTTCTATACCGAAGCAGCCACGCAGGCAGATGCCTAAATGCCGGGACACCGCGAATGCTATGATGATCCCAAAGAAATTTTGTTAATCCGATTTTTGAACTGCCCAAGGTTCGTAGAACTGAGAAAAGCTCCATCTTGTTCCACAATCTCAGGCGGGTCTGTCTGTCAGGGGCACATCATGCGACGGCATCATGGAAGAGAGCTCTGAGGAGCAAAGTCCGTTGGTGTAGCGGTAGAAGAGACCTAGATCGCCGACGGCCCGCCGGTGCGAAAGGGTCCCGAGACTGTTTGTTAGAGAAGAGTCATCAATCAGTCGAACAACCCTCCTCAGGACAGCATCCAGCATAAATAATGTATTCGGGGCGGCAGCATCCCGAACGTGTGAGCGTTACTCGAAGCCTTATCTGGGCCTTGTATAGAGTGAGGAGGTCATGCGAAGAAAAGTACTTCTTAGCCCTAAACAAATATCCTATCTTTTTCCCCACAGGCGTCGCTATTGACGAGATGTGTTCGTGAAAGATCAGGTTCTTGGTGATCTGGACTCCGATCAGCCGAAGTGAATGGCTCTTTGGAAGAACGCGGCCATTCATCAAAACCGGATGAGCGTTCGTCAAGGTACAGTACTGTCTTCTTTTTTCCAGCTTAGCGGCAGAGATCGGCTTGCCACTCTGAATTCCTGCATGTAGAGTGCTGTCATCAGCGAAGCTGTGGATTGGGTTGATCGTGCAGGAAAGTCGTGTAAGAGGAACAGTGTCGAAGCTAAGACCGATCCCTGGGGAACACCCGTGGTGACGTTGTGGGATGAAAACGAGAACCTGTCACTTACGACGGATATCTTGCAACCATAGATAAAGTCAGCAACCCATCTGCAAAGCTTTTCTGGGATGCCATACGATGGAAGTTTGCTTAAGGGGGCAGCGTGCCACAGCCACAGCTTTCGTGATGACGAGAGCAACGACACGGCATGTGCGTAATGCCAAATTTTGCGGCCTCTGTGAGTATCTGCTGCCACAGCGGGTTCTGACCGACACCTAACCACCATAACACCGTGGTCTGAGTTACCCAATGGGGACAGGACAGCAGTGGTGAGGGACAGGATGCGTGGTCAGAAAGAGATCCAGCAGGCTACTGGCATGTGACGAGGCGCGGTGGAAAAAAGTAGGGCTCGTCACCAACTGAGTCAGTCGTTGAGTAAGAGCGAACGCTTCAACTGCCCGACTTGCTGTATCGGTCTTGTTGAGCCCAACCAAAGCTCATTACGGGCATTGAAATCACCGAGGAGAACTACTGAAGCGGGGTGATTGATGTCCAAGAAGTCGATCTTGACGGCGAGGTATTCAAGTAGGTCGTCCCAGTTATGCGCCAAAATATTACCTCTTTAAGAAAAACATCCCTGTTTCAATACCGTTTATGTCAATTCACATTAACGCCAGTCCACAAAAGGTTTTTTTAAAAACGATCGGTCTGAGTTACTAACTCGACCAATGAGAAGATGAGGTAATGGATCTGATGGATGTTGTTAATTTCTTGTAAAATATCTTTCAAGCTAGCTAAAAATTGTACGATTTGTAAAAGATGGACCCCTAGTTCCAGTATTCAATCAAGAAATACTTCATTAAGCACCTGATTTAGCTTCAAAACCTATTTTCTTCTTTGAGCTTGTTGAACTTTGCGACTAGGGCACAACCTCCACCAATCACAACGCAGTATTTGGGCCCTACTCGAAGCATGGCCTAAATCTGATATAATATCTAGATTGATCTGATAGCATTTACTGAGAATTTTATTGAAGATAACAGTGTCATCAGTGTCAATACTCACCCAAGAGCGATAACTTAAAAAACTTATACTCTTAACAATCCATGAAGATATAATATGAGATTAGCTACAAAACCTATTTTTTCTCTTTATAGGTTTATAACAGGTCAGTCAAACTAGATGATTGATTTTTGTATTTGATGTACGTATCAGATTTGAGGAGGTTGTGCTGTAATCGAAAAGTTTGTATGATATTATGTAGGTTTTTCTACAAGATTTCAACTTACGGTACGGAATGAACTATTTACAGACTAGCAGCTACCTAGTCAATAAGTTGCAATTTTGTCGGTCTTTTTTGACATTATATGGGTCTTTCACGTAACACCCCTGCCAGTCTCACATGAAGAAATAGGTTTTTGTATCTAAACCAGGTGATTTATGAAATATTTCTTGATTTGCTATCGTATAATTTTTCTTCTTCTTGAGAGACGATTTACAAGAAATCGGTCATATTTATTGGATTCATCACCTCAAAAACGCCTTCTCATTGGTCGAATTTGTACTACAGGCGCAAATTTTTAATTCCGCGAAAATCTAGACTTGGAGTATTGTGTCATCGTGTACATTTGTTTTACAGAAACATACGGCGTGTTCTGGTATGATATGGTATGAATTCTAGAGATTGACGCGTTATTCTGGGAAGTCCTGTATGAAATTTGTAAATATGTTTCGCTCAGGCATACAGTGGTTTGTGTCGACATACGTACTGGGCTTTAAAAAAAATCATTCTGTTACTTGATCAGCTAGGATTCTTTCAGCCTGATCTGGGTCTATTAATTTCAGTCTACCATACGTCATGTTGAAGACGAATGGGAAAACTTACTAGTGTAAACATTCCTTTGGAAAGTACAACCGCGATGTAATTCTATCAGAGATAGTATATAAAATTATCATGCTAGTAGGATAGCGTCCTCTTCACAGAAAGATTCAAAAACTCAAATTCAAAGCTTAAATGTAGTATCTACTGGCAAAGTGCGATGATCTGATTACCTGACTGGATCATTCCACATCAATTCCCAGGCTAAGGAGCTCTGGATATCTGGCTGATTCAATGGATTAGGCACATCGTTGATTGCTGTTATTACAGGGCACAACCAAGGAGGGGGAACACCACCATGACAACAAAATAACTGAAAAATAATTCCACATTAATCAAATTCAAGCGGATAACCAAATGGAAATGGTATTTACCATTTTGGGTTGGTATTTACCAATCCGTTCAAGCGAGTGTAGTTATCAGTTTGGTTATAAGATCCGTGACGTCACGAATCAGCTGTTATATGTCATAGTTATCACCGCAAAATTGTGGTATTTACCCAACTCAAGAATAGTTTTATATTTCTGGTTATTATTTGAAATATGACAAGTTAGAATTTTGCCGGGTATTGGATATTGTTATTGTACTTCAGCTGCATTTTTGAGAAAAATGATACAGGCTGACTTCAGTTTTACCATAAAGTGGAGCACCTTATTAGTTATACTCATTACGGTTGTTGGGGACACTTTAAATGTAGTTCCTATGCTGAACAAAGTATCCTGTGTAGGCATATACCACAAGAATATTAAAATATGGCCATATAAACTCACTAGATGATATCCACCTGTATACGGTTTTGCTAATTTCTTTTTTGATCATTGCTGCTGAATCAATAAATGTTTTCTTTCACATGCGGAAAAATTTAGAGAATTGAAAGTTATCATAGCTACAAAGCCATGGTTCCATCATTAAAAAAAAAATCTGAAAAATCGTTTCTCCCATGAATATTATGAAAGGTTTCTTATTTAAACTTTCCATATACAGTTGTAGACGAAAAAGCACCGATTATTAAGTGATAATAAAAATAATCAGAGATTATTATACGCGCTTTTCTAAAATAAAATCTTGCAACAAAACCGCGGTTATAACCAACGCGTTCAAGCGATTCGTGTAACTGACGTCATCAACCCGTGTGTCATCTTGAACAGAAATTTTGGTTATTCGCTTGGATTTGATTATTGTTTCATGCTTGGTTACTGGTTATATTTACACCGCGCTGTGCTAGCCGCAAAACGTCACGCAATCGTGTCGCATCGACGAAGTCAAATAGATTAGAAGCAGCCAAGTCAATGTATTTACATTGCTTTGCTTGTCGTCAAAATTGCATACCTTTTAATCGTTGGACTACCACTGCCTACGAGAGTGACAACGTTATATCAACATAATGATAGTACTTTACCGGTGGGAAAACCTAAGCTTGTGCCGCTCTTGCATGTTATGCATAGTAGTAACAGGCCCGCAGTAAGCGGGCGTGCAAGGCATGCACTTCACGCGGGCGGCACGTCCAAGGGGGCGGCAAATTGAGTGACTCATTACGTAATATTTGAAGACATTGTCATAAAAAATAGCCACTCAACCTATACTATAAATTTAAGTTAACATGTAATACTAAACGTCGCCGTCGTTTGCCAGAAGGTGTTATCGCCCAACCCCGTTTGGTGGCGCCCCAAATTCGATACAAAAGTATCCATATCAAGTGGCTTTCTGCTGTGCTTCAACTTCACGGCGACGCGGCATGGCGACGGTGAATTGGCCAATGAGGGCTGCTTTGTCCACCTGTTGTACGACGAGACTACAGCGCGCGAACATCACCCGAATCGTCCGTTTACGTGCGGTCTATTATGTGGATCTACTTTAAATGGCGGTGGCAGACTGGCGGCGGACGCTGACGATTGCAAAAATTTTACGAATATATCCAACATTTAGGTTCGTGTTATCCGGAAGTTCGTTGTAAACGGGTTCGTTATGAGCGAACATTACTGTATATATACATATAATTAAACCTTATTGACGTGATTACAATCAAAAGTATCACCTGTTAGTGCAAAACAGACGTGCAAAGGAATAGTGATTATGGTAAGTACTTACCTAAGTTTATGGTGAATATGTTATTATGCCTATACATGTCTTTACCATAACAATACTAGCCCATACACCACAAATCACCGCCGATCGGATTAGGCATTGAAAATGGACTAAGTGTAGACAGAAGCGGATATTGGGTAGGGATGTTCGATACGATCCGATATTTAGAAGTATCGATACTTTTGCTTCCGATACACGATATTTTGGATCGATATTTTTATATACGATACTTGGTTGTATCGATACATTTCACGAGTATCGTTATCTTTCGATGCGGACTGTGTCTGAAATAGTGACTAACTTCAGTTTTATTTTCTTCTTTGTTTCCTACTGCTGATGCTACTCAACTTCACGACCTCACATAAATTTATTTTTGATTTCAGGGGGGTTTTCCCCAAAAATCAGGGGATCTTTATTTGAATGGGGAAGATTTTGGGGATATTTTTTTATTGGAGAGGTATTGTAAAATTTTATTTTATTATAAAATTGCCTATTTAAAAATTGAAAATTTGACTCTTTCGAGGAGCTTCCAAAACGTTTTGGAAGCATAAAACAGATTAAACTTTTAGCTGTCCCAAATAACCTGGACCCTTGTGTTAAATGATTGTACTTTAACAGTTCAATTTCGTGTGCAAATATGCAGTCACTTTCCTAAATCAGTCATTTCAGTTGCGCAAGAAGGAAATAAATACTGAAAAAGCAGGGCAAAATCATATTAATATTGTTGAAAAATCAGAGAGAGTTTGGGCCTACCATGAGAAACTGGCCCAAAATCACGCAGATAAATATGGTAATACTAAATCATATATTGATCTTGAGCTACAACTGTATTTAAATAGTCATACCGCAACTCATATCCCTTTTTGTACTGGAATAGCTCCAGTTCTTCCTCCGAGATATTTAAAGAACTGGCTAATAAATATCTCTCTATTGTTGGCACAACAGTCCGATCAGAGAGATCCTTAACTGAAGCCGGAAATATACTCTGCCAAAGCCGAAACAGATTATTGAACGAATGTCAGAACTATTCTTTTTACATCCGCTGGGTGCTGAAGACTGGAATTTCTAAGATTTTGAACTTTGAGTTATTTGTAATATTGTTTTTTAATACCTTTTATATATTTTATGTTTAATATGCTTATCTGTAATATGTAGTATAGTTGTTTTGTTTAAATGTTAAATAAATAATGATTCGTTTTCTAATGAATTTCCTAGTTATTTTCATTAGTGAGCGTTTTTGACAATCTAGTCCTATACTTGAAAAAGTAAACATTATTTTGAGGGTTATAGAAAAAACTTTTCGGCAGAGTGTGTTCCGTATCGAAAGGTTTCGATACTTGTAGTATCGATATTTGTATTCCGATATTTTAGAGTATCGATACTTCCTAAAACGATACGAATCGATACATGGTATCGATACTTTTAGTGAATCGGAACATCCCTAATATTGGGGGGGGTCTGTTAGTTAATAATCGAGCTATCTCCATTGAACATCTAATATAAACATATTCACTAAAAAAATCATTTTTGTAACTACTAAATATCACATCATATTTGAGCTCATCCCTTGATCGCCCCGCCCCTCAAGTGTAGACGTGCATCCGCCCCTGAGTGTAGAAACTGTTAAGTGGGTTCAAATCCTATCTGTCTAAACTTTTCCGGAATATTATTGTAACAAAACACCTTAAATTAAAAATATTTAAATACTTAATCTTTACAAATAATTTCAGGAACCGCAGAAAAGGAAAAAACTTTCAGGAGCGCAATTTCGACAGCAAAGCATTGTTTTATATTATATCTATGGTTTCATCGATAACTATTAGCGCTTATAATTTCCATGGAACTGGAACGTAAAACAGGTGTTTTTGTGTGTTAGGGAAGCAATAAGTCAATCAATCTAAATCCATTTTTTGGATTTTATGTCGATGTTTCGCCGACATGTGTCCGGAAATCCTTGTTGACCTCTCTATATCTCAGAAAGTATTGCTAATTTTGATAAAATTATGACATCAATCACAACTATACCAAGAATAAAAAATGTTACTGTTTTTGACATTTGATCTAATTGGGAAAGAGTAATCGTGAAAAAATCAATGACCGTTGTCTCCTCTATTATGGAAAGGATCACTTGGATTGTGGTGAAACTTTGCAGAAAGTTACTACTACAACGTAGGTGAATCTTCCGAAATTATAGAATAAGAAGTGCATGATTTCGCGCGGAATTGATGAGTCCCGCCTATTATCCCACGGGTTCAACGAGCTGCGGGACTGCAGTCCCTAGTTACAAATACACAAAATGAGATCCCCCGATCGTCTGCGGCTAGCACGGCACGTTGTAAACATGATCTGCGATTGTTTACAAATGACAAACCATATAACATACTGGCTCTGAATAAAGCTGATCCTATTCCTTGAATCAGGTGACATTACCTTTCCATCTACTACAGCGGCCAGTGGCATCACATCAAAGGCATTATTGACAGCATTCCACACTTCATTACCAAGCTTCTCACCTAACTTTAGTAAACATTCCCTAAGACAATTCAGTATGTTAACGTTAACAATCGACAGTGGTGGCGAGATTAGCTTTTTAGCAAGAACTTATGGTAGTGCCCAATATTTCAATTGCTGGCTAGCTGTGGCTTTACTTTTAACTGGAAGTTTATTAACAAAAAGCATTCATAAATATCAGGTTTAAAAATGTCCAGCCGGTACGTCAGTGAATTTTCCCTTCTACTTCAATCGTCAGAACAAGATGGAGATGAGTCAGAAAGACAGCCACAGGAAAACGTTCCGTAATTAGCTTTATCTACGACAGGAGAAAATTGTACTTGATGAGTAGTGCCTCAAGCCTCACTTTTCAGCCCACGAACTGGTTTATGCTTCAGTGAACTAACTTTACTACCCACTGTGTATAAATTAACTTATGCTGAGCATAAGATGATGGCCGCGGGAAGTATACTGTACAAACGTTACGTTACGACGCGCCCCGAAAAGTCCTGAAGAACGTCTTGCATGACACAGGCCTCACCTAAATTTCCGCGCTGCAGAATGCGTGTTTGATCAAAACCATTCTATTTCCTGCGCCACTGGGCGACGATGTATTGTTAGCGCAAACAATTTGAAAATGAGATATGGTTTTTGGATATTATATGATATGCGAAGAACCGTGTCATTGGCCTGTCTGTATGTGTGTTGGTCTATCTGTCGGTCTGTTTGTTCGCTAATCCCTGGGCCGCTTAGAATTTGGGAAGTACCGCTCAGATTTGAATGAAAACACACAAGTTATATTTATATACCCTCATTTTTATGTTCCAACCCCGGCAATTCTATGCGGTTTATAACCTGCTTATGCTCTAGATATATAAATAATTATTATTTACGAACGTAGCGGAAAAGTGTACTCTGTGAATACGTTCTTTTGCGCCATAAGTCTCACTTTTCAGCTCACGAACCCTCATGTGCCATTTTTTTATACCTTGTTCCCTAGTTTCACACCGCAGTCCGTAACTGCGCCGTTAACAAATACAATTATGGTTTGGTTAGCCAGAACTCTAGTTGAATATTAACCAGCGATTGAAAAATTGGATCCAGTACTTACTTATAGAAAGTAAACATTTTCTGCACGTCTCTGATCTCATGATTACCCCGGACAAGATTCATCTTACGTGGACTCTGTAGTTTATAGGAAAATAGGTATGAGATTACTTCAATACTGTAAGCACCTCGGTCTACGTAGTCGCCCAAAAATAACAAGTTGCTTGGACTCAGGCCTGGTCCGATGTGCCACAGGGTTCTTTCAAAATGCAGAAGGTCTGCTACGTTTCCGTGAAGATCACCTAAAATTAAAAAAAAGGAATGAATAATATGGGCTAGCATTCTAGAATTATCCGTCGTTTTATTCTAGAAGAACATAAACTTGTTGCTTCTTCTCTTGTTTGCTTGCGACAGTCTGATATTCTTTGTAGTCTGCCCGTTTTTCGCGATGACCAACTGATTACCTCATGATAAAGGCCTCATGCAATATTTAAGCAAAACCTTTCAATGCTAAATGTGATGGGTTTGCAAAAGAGATGGTTTCTACTTGAAAAAAATGTCTTTGAGGTTTTCTAAGTTCTAATTTTTAATGCTCTTTTCATCACCCTGTACTATTTGTTATCCAAATCTGGAATAAAATCTAATGGAGTAGGTCCCGTACTATAAGATACCGTTAAAAATCGTATGGCACAAAACTATAGTAACTTATTAGGCTACACTTGTTATTTTTTTACATCGAGCTTGAGTTATTTCAAAAACTGTCAGGTTGTATTAAAATAAGCGAGTTGGTATTTACTTTCGGTACAACCAAAGGTGTCACCATTTTAGCCGAATTGCTCCCATCAGTCATACTATAACACCCTAACGTCGCCTAAAAAATGAACTTTAGAGCCCTACCGAATAGATTACAGGATTAAGTATCATAACAAAATCCAACGTTTCAGACAATTTTTTTTTTAATAAAGAAAAAATTGCAAGTAATATAATGCGAGAGCTTCCTTAAGACAATATACGCTGAATATGGCTCCGACAAGGATGCGACTATCCGAAACCTGCGGCTCCACCCGCGTAGAAGATCATTCGTTATGGGATTGGTTTTGGAGAAAAAAAACGAACTATTCAAAGTAATACAATAGTTACATTGGCAATGGATGCAACAATAAATTAATATCAAATGTGTAATGAGAATCGGAATAAATAATATGTGATGTATCTCACGGCTTGTGTAGCATATATCAACATATCCTAAGCCAATAACTGTTTATTCAGAGTATTATAGTAGGTATTATACGTAAAGTGAAAAAACAAAACAATTCTAAATCAAGATGGCTGCGCTGAGGGAACGAATGTCGAAATGCAGTAAAGGTACCCATTTATACAGGGTGACTTCGAAGTTGAGTCATTTATTTTAACAGTGAGTAGATCTGATCGAAAGAAATGTTTTTTCCTTTAACATTTTTCTGGTAAAATTAAAGTAACAAAGTTATAGGCCTTTAGAAGTTTGAGTACCGCCCTGTCTCAATAATAATATTATGTGCTCGTGTTTGGCAACAACGGATATAATCCGCCTTATCGGTTCATCGCATCGGAAACAAAAAAGCGAAAGAAATGTTTTTACTACAATTTTATTCAGTTGTATTCAGTCGGTAACGCGTGAGTAAATAGTGGTGTTTGTTGCGTGGCTCAAACTTGTGGACATAATTCTTATTTACGGAGGGGGGGGTCTTTACAAAATGCTGCCGCGGCATCACGGATTTATGCGGATCGGTTTCTCAATCGAGTGCAACCAACCCCTCGTGCCTTTGTTAATGTAGTACAAAGGGCTCGTGAATCAGGTGACTTAACACCTCACAGGGGAGGGTATGCCGGTGCTCCAAGACCGCACGATCAAATACAGGTCCGCACTGAAATACTTGTCGGGAGGATACTTTATAAAACAAGGTAACATTTTTTTTTTTAATTTTTTTTTATTTTTACACACATATTTTGGTTTATCTTCCTTCTACAATCATTATCTGAAAATTAATGACTCAACTTCAAAGTCACCCTGTATATACCCTTATTTGTTCTAACGACTGAGCGCTTCCGTGTCAGACCCCTCATGTCAAATTCCCTTCAGGCGTTGAGGCTGTAGTTCGTGAAATAGATGTTTCAAATTTATTTCCCGGGATAGAAAAAGTAGCATATGTACTATTTCAGACCATAATCATTCCCTGTACCAAATTTCATTCAGATCCATTAAGATATTTTGGCGTGATTGAGTACCTAACATCCACACTTTCTCATTTATAATATTAGTAATGATACATACCCATAATGTAGCATGGGGAGCTCAACTCCAGCATTCTAGGTTCAGCTCTGAATACTTCTTTCACTTGATTGCAAACATTTATCAGATTTCTGGCAAAATTTGCGGGATCCAACTGGCCCCAAGTATAGTTTGCTTTGGGCTCTTTGATTTTGTTGATGGAAGTCAGGTACCTCAACCCCTTCAGCAACTCATTGGAGACAGACCTTTGGCTGAAGAGGTCCATTGAAATCCTCCTGTTTTGCTCATTGTGAGGCTGCTTCAACGTTGTTATCGATATTGCCTCTGTGATAAAAATTACATTATAGGATATACTGCATGCTTCACATTCGACTCCCATCATTGGGACCTCGTAAGCGGTAAGAGATATGAAGTCAATTAAGTTGGGTCAAAATTGCCCATTTAGGCAACTAAGAAAGTTTCGCCATTCATTGGACAAAATTAACAGATTTTTTCCAAAACCTTTTTCTTCACTTTCTTCATTTATTTCAGACGTGGCCTCAAAATAAGATGCTCATCAATATTAGAACTTTTTGCCCTCTACAAGATTATATGATGAGAATTTCAATATGACGTGTCGTCCTGAATCATTAACTTCATTTTTTCTCATGGACGCTATAATGGATTTTTGTGCAGGCATTGCCAAATCTTAGTCATGTCAAAAAAACAATTTCCTTAGTAGCCCTGAATTTATAGGTATACTTCAAATGTCTGAAAAAGTAATCTTCTCATAGTTGGACACATTGAATTTGTAAACTGATATTATTTAGGGTACTGTTGAAAATATTTGAAAACAGTGTTATTTTGAGAAACGTTTAAGAGTAGTCAAAAGCCTGACGATATTGTAGGCTTCTTTTTACACCGAAGCAGCCACGAAGGCAGAAAACTGAATGCCAGGACATCACGGCTGCTATGAGGCTCCCAAGGAAATTTTGTTAATCCGATTTTGGATCTGTCTAAGGTTAGTAGAACTGAGAAAAGCCTCTCCTTGCAGATTGCTCCACAATTTCGACACCCTCGGGACAAAGGAGCGGTCGTATCGGCCAGTTCTGGATATACGAAGTTCGACACGATTAGGATGGGAGGCCAAAGTCAGGATGGTCTGTCTGTCAGGCACATCGCGCGGCGGCATCATGGAGGAGAGCTCTGAGGAGCAAAGCCCGCTGGTGTAGCGGTAGAAGAGAGGTAGATCGCCGACGGCTCGCCAGTGCGAAAGTGTCCCGTGTGGACAGCATCAAGCATTAATAATATAGTCCGGGCGGCAGCACCACGACCGTGTGAACAATACTCAATATTAGGTCTTTCTGAGCCTTGTTTAGATTGAGAAGATTGTGTTGAAAAAGTACTTGATAGCCCTCAACAGATAACCTAGCTTTTTCCCAGTAGCTGCTGCTATTGACGAGATGTGTTCATACCATATCAATATGGACTTACTGAAGTATCTCGTTGAGCGGTTCCATCATAGTGAAATGGACAAATAATTTGGCTGACATTCATTTAAACACACAACTATAAAAAGATTCTTTTACAAATAACTGAGCTTTAGTCATATCAATCGATGACATTTTTTTACTCAGAACTAAAAACCATTTACTTGTGCAAAAACCCAGCATGCTGTTCATAAGAAAAAGTAAAGTCCATAATTGAAGATGAGAGACGAAACGTAATATTATGATTGCCATCTTGTAAAGGAGAAAAAGTGGCGATGTTAATGTGCAATTTATTTTGAAATCCTACTACAATTAAAGTCAGGAAAAAATTAAATCGATTTTGGGAAAATTCGGTTCTTTCTGTCCCTCTCCGGAGGTATTTTGAATTTCGAAACTTTATAAGAGGTGTTGCTACCTAAACACGCAACGTTGCCCCCATTTAAGCGACCTCGTATCTCTTAGAGTTTCCAAGTTCCCAGTGGTGAGGGTCGAATTTGAAACACCATGTATATTACGGTGTGTGAATATCTTTGGCTGGCTCAGTTTGAAAATTCAGAAAATATCATTTTTAGACATAAATTGCAGAATATATTTGAAATAGCTTAAAGATAAACTATATTAATTAAATAAACTGAAAATGGGTTTTTTTCTAATACTCCTTTTGAATATAATCACAAGTCGTGATCAAAAATGAAACATCATACTCAGCACCGCATTTTAAGGGGGGGCTCCTCTGTGATATTTTTTCCTTGAGCGATTCATTAAAAATAGATAAGGGGTGTTGAAGTTTAAAAATAAAACACATTTTTTTTTTAATAACCGTTAACTGGAATTAACTAAAATTTGGTATGTGAATTTACCTAAGTATTTTTCTCATTCAAGTCTTTGCCTAAAATTAACGTGCACCAGTGGCAGATAAACAGTGGCATTATTTTTCCAAATAAAAATAGTACGCCACTGTTCTTTCTTTTTCGAAACCCGCAACTTTTCGAACTTTACTTACAATTTGCTACAAATAATAACTGTTGTGTTTTCTCCTAGAGTGCATTGTTTTCGTGAAAAAGAAACAAATTAGATAATCAAAGCTTTATTTTAATAAATGTTCAAAAAGACCACCATTCTAACGGATACAAGTGAGGCATATTTTTTTGTAACTGATCAACATGATAACTTTGTCTAGGATACACTAGTTGTTTAAAAGCGGCCCACAAAAAGAAATCCAGGGAGTTCAAATCAGCAGACCTCGCAGGTCAATGTACGGATCTGTTTCTGCAATCCCCAACGTTGTATATAATGATTATTTATCCATGCGATTATATCACAACATACATGTGGTGGGGAACCGTCATGGTGATACCACATTCGTACTCTCATTGCTGACGGAACATCTTCCAACACATTTACTATGTAATTTTCTAGAAAAGCTAGGTATGAGTTTGCATTTAAACGTTGTGGCAATACGCGCACAAGCAGTTGGCCAGTCAAAATGCCACCACCAAAATCTGCATTTTGATTATGACTTTGCAGTAACCACACAACTATTTCGCCGTTTTACGTCGTCGCCGGTAATGATGTAAAGCTTACCGATTTGAAATTCTCCTCGCAAGACTTTAAGAACATGGCAACTGGGCTGCTACATGCCTAGTACTTGTACTAGGATCATCCATCGCCAAATTAATCACTTCCTCTTGAATAGTATGCCGGATACCTTGGCCTATAACTCGGGTAAGATTGGCAATTCCATAATGCCGGTCTTAGAAATGAACGCGTAAAAACCTTTGGGGAAGGTTGGCGTCTGTTGCGCAATCTACGTTGATACTCCCGAGAAGCTGCTAAAGCGTTTCCATTACATAACCGTACACAAAAATATTATCGGCATACTCACCATTGCTAAATTCCGTTCCACAGCACTCAAAAATGAAAAAAGAAACTTTTACTTTGAGTCTTACTAAAAAAAATGATAGTAGTAACGATAACCGTATAACACATAACTTTGACAAACTATCTCGCAATAAACGTCAAGTCAATATCAAGGCATCCTATTTTATTTTAAAACTAATTGTATCTCGACTCTTCATGAATGATCTAATTTGTTTTATTTTTATCTGTACGAAAACAGTTCACAGGAAAAAACAAGAGTAATTATTTTTAGCAAATTGAAGGTAAAATTAGAAAAAGTGCGCGTTTCGAAAAAAACTAGTGGCGTCCTATTTTATTTGGAAAAACAATGCCACTAACCCCTGTATCTCCGCCACTGGTGCACGTTAATTTTGAGTAATGACTTTACATAGAAGACCTCCCTTAAAATGCGGTCCTGTGTATCATGTTTCATTTTTTGCACGACTTGTGAATCACAGAGTCATGTTTGATGTCTTGATCTATTTAATTTGCACATTCTCGTAACTATTTTTTTTTCTCAGAGAGTGCAACCTGTGGAACATACTCCTTTAAGATCGTTTTTTTGTGTGCTATGTGTATACAAGATATTGATATGCTACTTTGGGACACCCTGTATAGTAGTTAAAATTCTTCTAAGCTCCTTCATCACCTTGTAAAGTCTTCATTTCTTCAATGTTGATAGCGTTTCCACTCCTCTGTATCCTCAAAGTGTGCACAGCCACTTCATAATCAAGGTACTTCATTGGTGGTGTTGTCATCTTGCCTCGCGGATTCTGCGCTACACTGCCTTGCATTGCGCTCGATACAGCTGATGCAGCTGAACGACCACTTTTCTCTCTATTAATAACATTATAAAAAGCAACAACAGATTTTTTCACTTCAACATGTCGATACATGAACATGAACATTGCAACTGTCATTTCGACGATTTAAATGGATTGTATTTGATACTTGTAGGTCATCTTAAAAGAGATAACATTTTGTTAGTAAAAATGTGAGACAAATTTGGTTTTAATATATGTAACTGCATTCGACAAATGACGGTAATATTTTGGGGAAAAACGTTATCATTTTAGTAAGGTGAATTGTATCGTATCATACGAGTGAATGCCGTCTGATCCATTACACCGTAACATGGTGTCTGTCTTTACAATACCCGTGCACAAGTACCCTTGGAATAGTTGACCTTAACTCATTGAATTTGATAACTGATACTATTTAGGATAGTATTAAAAGATTGAAGACTGTGTAGTTTTGAGAAACTGATGGAAACATTGAAGTGTAAATAAAAACTTTGGCGATGCTGCAAGTTGCTAGGTACAAAAATGAGCCATCCAAGTTGCACCGTACATACCTCTTTCATTCTCCGACCTCTAAAGACTACAGAATTGCAACGTTGTATTAGCACGGAAGATAGCCTTAAAAGCAGGATTGATCCTGGAAGGTAATGTCCCAGCAAATAAATTGTAGATAAAAACCACCGCATTGTACAGTGGCGCGCGACTTGGTTAGAATGTCTCCAGTGGCGGCGGACTATTCCTGTTGATGAGGTGTAGGCTTAGTTAAATTCTCAGTATGGTGTGATTTTCAAAGCAGATGACATCGTTATTTGTAATACATCTCCAGATTTCTGAAAACTAACACATTCTTTTAAAATTTCAATACTCAGGGAAAAGTTGGTTGAATGATTAATTCTGATATGGTAGTTCGGAGGTTTGGTAGTGAATAGACAAGCCGAAAGTGCTAGTCTGCCGAACATAGTTACGTACGAAACATGAAAAGATTACGGAATTAACGTTGAGTATTTATCCTTCTTGTTACTAATTCAATTACCTACGAAAAATATTTCACCAGTGTAACCAGCTTCTGTGTCAATATATTCTGGTACACATGCTTCTTGTTTTGTAGACATACGAGGTCTGTAAATTAAATAATGAGACTGGCAAGGTGGGGTTCTGTATGGCAACACTGAAAGCGCCGGGCTTGGGGGGGGAGACAGGACACATGTACAAGTTTGAACTTGCCTGAGCATTCTGTTCGAATATATTGAATTTTTGCTTATCCACACGCAGATACATTAGTTATGATTTTTTAGTTTTACTGTTTTAACGACGGAATGACGCTTCTCTTGTATAGGCCATATTATTTCGCCACTACCTAGATCGTTTTTGAACCTTAGGCGCTAAGGCCCATTTTTGTATCTTGATGGACAAGTATACTGGCGGAGTACTTGTATATCCTCAGGTGCAAGAAGGCAAAAAGTATAATGTATAATAGCATATCTGAGAATTTTCTGATCGTCCGGCAACACGTCATCTCTGCATCACAGGACGTTGCGTACAAGAGCGACGCTCCTGCTACATGATAGAGTCCGACAACGATTAAAAATGCTATATACGTCGTCACATCATTCATTTTACACTAATTTTCAAATACCTCAATTTATCAAGTAGCATCGGATTTTCAGGCTGTCAAATTAATGGAATAAATAAATGCAATAAACGACAATAACTTCAGCTAATACAGTTAACTAAACTCTGTAGATTAATAATTTGTAGTAGACGATAATTATTAGTAAGAATCAGAAATGGATAAACGGTTTAATGACAGTAACAATGTTGTGCTCAACCAGCTAAAGAAGCTCTATATGAAAAGCACACATTCATTATTTTACCTAGCGATTTTTCATTATCATTATTTCTTCAGGGGAAATGTAACTTCTTATATGAATGCAGTGAATAGTGGCACTTTTCAGGTAAGTAGTTGCTTCTAACTCACTGGTAAGTAGCTTTACATTGTTCTTCCAGGTAGACTGTGTTCATAATAGTAATTGTGTTTGCTTTTCCAATTAAGAAAAATTGCTCATGGTACAACCAACGACACCATAACTGTACCCCAAAATAAATATTCTGCTCACATTTTACTTACCTAATATTTGCTGTTTATTATGCTTTCTCTTTAAATTTGTGAAATATGATATTGATTAAAACTTTTACGCTAGTATATCACTGTATTGCTTATTACTGCACTGAAGGTTAAAATATTCAACTGAAGTTGATAAAAAATTTAAATGACTTCCCTGAAAAGTCCACATTTGTTACCTACATTATAATTGGATGCATGTGTCGATATATATGACTCCAAAGATTTGCCAAAGACAAAACGATAAATCAAAAAGGCATTCATAGGAAAGATGTTACATGGACATATACTACTATATGATTAGCTGAGGGCACACATTGCGATTTGAGAAACACAAAATACTATGCAAAGTAAACAATAATGGTCCTACTTGTAAATCTTCTGCTATGACTTACTGTACATCTTTCAGGTACTTGATTATTCCCACGCTGGATCGAAATATCATGGAAGTTCCTCGTATTTTTAAGTCGCATATCGCCTTCAAAAAATCCATCACGCTGATATTCGAACCATCGGCAGCTCCCATGGCTCTTAAAAAATATCATCGGATTTTGTTGCATGCTCGTACAGGGCATTCCTGACTATCCTGATATTACTCCAGGATGTGATTTCAGATAATTTTATGAAGAAAGGGAGCATATGTCCGCAATGGCTTAGATTTTTCACTACAAGGTGTTGAATAAAAAAAAATCGTTTTTATTTCTGAAGTTTTTAGTATTAGCATACTATCAAAGGATATAAAATGACTTGTAACACTTGAAACTTATTATATATACTTTTATATATATATAAAAGAAATGCACAACTGTCTGGCCAGACACATAAATAGGATTTTTAAATTAAAAGTTATTCTACAGGGCGTAAACGTTACGGTAGTCATTATTGAAATGGGTAATATGGGGGTCAAAATAAGTCCAACAGTTCATATGACCCATGGTCCAAAAGACAATAGATGTACGTTTTTAAATTGGGTAATTAACAAATAAATGGCATTAAGTTTTTCTAAGTTAAGCCAAAATTTGTAGTCAGTAAGTAAGTTTTATTAAATTAAATATTTAAAACACACATGACAGCACCGCGTCGGTCTTTCATCACTCTTATCGAACCGGTAATCGTTTTGCATAGATAGATTACTTTATCGTTTTGTCGAGCAGAGCATCGGGCGTGTTGTTTTGTTTTTGTTCGCGAGCATCGTCGTCTTTATTTACAATGTTTTCGAATCAAGAGTTCGCTGACATGTTGTTAGGTTAAGGTGAAGCTCGTCAGAATTTACATCTTGCAGCTCAAGTTTATCGCGACAGATTTCGCCAACGGTTACACCCAGACAGAAGGACATTTGTGCAAGTGTACCAAAGACTTCGAGATGCAGGAAGTGTTTAGCCAACTAATATTCGCACTCGTGAAAGACAGGTTACTGTAGAGCAGGAGAAACAAATTTTAAATATCGTGGAAATCAATGCAGATATCAGTACTCGGGAATTAGGCCGCCGCGTAGGACTATCGCATGCCCTAGTCCACAGAATCCTTCGGGAAACATTGCTTTATCCCTACCATGTGCAACGAGTGCAGACCTTATTACCAGAAGACTATCCTCGCAGACTAACATTCTGTCAGTGGTTTTTGCACAAAAACATTGAGAATCCTGATTTATTTAAAAACATTCTGTCGATGGACGAACGTACATTTACGCGAGACGGAATATTAAATTTCCATGATACTCACACGTGGGCCCAAGAAAATCCTCATACCATTCGTGAAGGTCATTTCCAACAACGTTTTAAAATAAATATTTGGGCGGGTATTCTTAACGACCAGGTCATTGGCCCTTTTGAGTTACCCCCAAAGTTGTCAGGAGAAGGATACCTTAGCTTTCTAGCCAATAACCTACCAGAACTTTTGGAACAGACCTTAGACAACATGCCATTACGATGGAGACACAATTTGTGGTTTCTTCATGACGGGGCACAACCACACATTTTTAGAGGCGTCATTCAGTATTCGAATGAACATTATCCAAATCGCTGGATCGGTCGAAATGCTCCTGATCCTCGAAAATGGCCAGCAAGATCTCCTGACCTCAATCCGATGGATTTCTGGTATTGGGGAGAACTTAATGGGATGGTTTTATGGGGCTGGTCCAATAACAACTGAAGCACAACTTCGCGAAAAAAAATTTAATGCGGCTGAAATAATAAATGGACAACTTCGAGGACCTAGAGTAAGAAGAAACTGGGTTCGTTGTAATGAAGCTTGTGTGGAAAGTGGAGGACGACATCTTGAACGCCTTCTCTGAATACAAAAAAGTGCAGTGTGGGTTTTAAAAGGCAAAACAAAGTATGTATCAATTGTGTTCCTATTTATAGGTGGATTTTTTTATACAACACACTAGGTGAAGCGCTGAGACAGGCGTTTTTTTTAATTTTTTGCATTTTACGAGTACATTATCAGATAATAAAATAATACCTAAGAAAATAACAAACTCCATCTTTACTTACACTGAGCTCCGTGGTAATTTGACCCCAATGTTATATGAAACTTTTTGCTTTTTTTAACCCCGTCGATCACCCATTTAAATAATGACTATCATAACATTTACATCCTGTATAGCACTACTAGTGGTGTCTCTTCAAACATGCCTTGTGATGAATACTCGTATTACAAAAAAAATCGAACATCATCGGTGTGCCCAAAGAAGCAGTTACCATTCTGTCGCTTTATGAAAAACTGCAGTAAGTTTGCAAGATACAAGATGAGAAACAAGAATCCGTTATTTTTTAAGGCCAAACTTCTAGAGGGCGCCACTTACAGCACTATTTCGGTAACTAACTTATCATAACTTCTTCTTGCTGCCCTGTATACAGCAAATGACCGAAAAATCTTTTTTGCATTTCCACAACAAAAAAGGTTTTCTTGTTAGAGGTGTCTACAGCTAATAGTTTTCGAGATATTTGTTTTTAAAGGTTCCAATGCATGATTTGTACCATGCTGATAAAACATTATTATAACATAATAATCAAGTTGCTTTGGATAATATCTGAGTAGCGTTGCTATGGTTTCTAATGTTTGTCATACTATTGCTTTTAACTTCATGAATAGTTTTAAGATGACAATAAGTTGTTAAACATTATGGAGTATAGTATAGTATGTCTGATAAATATTCTGATATGCATTTAAATATACGGATTGGCAAGATGTGCTGCTTTAAAAGCACGAAGATTGTACGTTAACACATTCCCCAATAGATACCTGCCTAATTCAAAGACTCTCGAACGAATGGATCAGCGGTTACGAGAAACTGGTAAGAAATTATTATAGCCCTATTTTGAGTAGTAAAAACCATTTGGATTTTAGATAGTTGTGCTCAAAATATGGGCCGACATAGTGGAGCTCTCAGAACTGTAGGTACAGCTGAAGTTGAAGAAAATGTTTTAGATGCTGTCTTTGAAAATCCTACAGTTGGGGTTAGGAATGTAGCAAGTTTCCAAATACCATTTTTTAAGAACAAATGCTCCATCCATACCACCTTCAACAAGTATAGTACAAGGTTTGAGCGCGGATGATGAATCCGCAAGGGTAGAATTTTGCACGTGGCTCTTAAGCGAGTTTAACCACGACAATGGTTTTACTTAGTTAATATTATTTTCGGACGAAGCAGGATTTGGAAGGGATGGTTAACTCGCATAATCTTCACTTGTATGCAGACGAAAATCCTCATGCAATAATACAAACCCGTCACCAAGTACAATTTCAAATTAATTCATGGGCAGGAATGACTGGACAATATTGAATAGGACCCGTTACCACCTAGACTAAATGGCCAAAGGTATTTACACTTTCTTGGAGAACAATTACCCACTCTGCTGGAAAATCTTTCATTACAAGCACGCAAGAATATGTGGTTTATGTACGACTGCGCTCCACCTCATTTTAGTATATTAGCTTGAGAGCACATAAATTGAGTTTATCCACACCAATGGATATGCAGATCAGAACCTGCATCGTGGCCGGCTAGATCACCAGATTCAAATCCTATGGATTTCTTCTTCTGGGGTGATTTAAAACGACGCGTTTACAGTACGTTAGTGGAAACTGTAGATCGTCTTCGAAAAAGAATTTTTCACCATAGCCAGGAAATGAAAAATAACATCCAAATGCTTTGGAGAGTGCAGCAAGTTCATCGAGCTCGAGAGTGTGTTAGGCAAAGTGATGCTCATTTTGAACAATTTTTGTAGTTATTATTTCCATTTATCAGTTTTGTTGCTATCCTCATTTGCTATTGTTAAAAACCATAGCAACGCCACTCAGATATTATCCAAAGCAGCTTGATTATTACGTTATAAAAATATTTTATCATCATAGTACAAATAACGCATTGGAACTTTTAAAAACAAATATCCCGAAAACTATTAGTTTGAGACACATCTAACAAGTTAACTTTTTTTGTTGTGGAAATACGAGAAAATAATTTTTTACCGTCAGTTGTTGTATACAGGGTAGCACAAATAAGTTATGATAAGTTATTTATCGAGATAGTGCTGTAAATCTTAAATACTTCTCGAGCAATAAGGAAAAATAGAAAATAAAATTTTAACTTTAACACCGTGTATCTGGCAAACTATAAGCTTTTGGATTAAGGTAAGTTTAGGTCAATTAACATATTTTTGTCTGTAATACCTCCAGTTTCGAGATTTCCCAACCTGTATAAGAATTTTTTTTATGAAAACTCAACACCTTGTAGCTGAATATTTAATCCAATGCGGAAGTATGTTCATATAACACCCGGTACTTAGATACAGATTGGTCTTGTATATTGAGATACGGATTCAGCTATTTATGAGCAGTTGGTATTAAATGAGTCAACTTTTCACTAAGGGCTGTGAGACAAGGCATGAGATGTGATGTACTATAAATTAGAGTAGAAAAATGTTTACGGCGACTAGCAAACCTGAAAAAACACTCAGCTGGTCTCGGTAAGACAAGCCTAGTGCAGATCTGACAACCTTCGCTCATTTTTCATGACCCTGCTCGCTTTTGCAAGGTTGACAGTTGTCATATAATCTAATTTAGGTTTTTCGGGCTGTTGAGCCGTGGGTGTGTTGTATTTGGTCTAGAGCTTTCGGCTACATCTGCGGTAGCCATCTTTAGTGGCGCTATCAGCGAGAGCGTAGCGCTCGGCTTGGCGGATCGAGTGAAACAGCCCGAAAAACCTAAATTACATCAGAATTAGCCGTGAAAGCCTTCATTCTTCGAGTTGTCATATAAGTTCAATTTTCGTTTTATTTCATTTAACCCTATACTGAATCGGCAGGGGTATTGCGTAACCTGAAAAGTGACATTATGTCGATTTCCCTACAAAAGGTACTTGTGTGAATGGGGTATAGGGTGTTTCAGTTTATTTTTGCATAACTTTAAGATTCGATAGAACTTTTAAAATTAATGCATAAAGTCTATTTAAACATGGGTCGAAAAATGCGTGGCTTCCACATGGTGTTTAAATTTACTTTCTAAAATAGTCTTTTTTTAAATACTTCGAACACCATTTGATGTATAACAGTGAAAATTGGTATACAAGGGTTTTTTGGTACGAAAAAACGAACCATGGGCATAGTTTTACTGTAGCCGCTAGAGGGCGCTCTCTACTGTACCTGTAGTGTATTAAAATGACTGAAAATTTTTTCTTGGTACAATTTTTTGCTTTTTGAATAAAAAATTTTCCGCATAAAAAAACTCTCCCCACACAAAGAAATCTAATGGATTTAGGTCAGGGGATCGTGGAGGCCAGGCGATTGGTCCTCCACGGCCGATCCATCTTTCTGCATAATTTTCGTCCAGCCAGTTTCTAACTATTCTCGAATAATGAGCTGGACAACCATCAAGCTGGAACCAGGGCAATCTTTTTAAATCTAACATAACATCATCCCTCATATTTGCATGTTCAGCCTTTAAAAATTCCAAGAAGGTCGCAGCATTTAACCTTGCAGGCAAAAGGTAGGGTCCAAATAGTCGATTACGGTAGATACCAATCCACACGTTCACACTGAATTCATGCTGAAAATTTCTTCCCCGAACTGCATGCGGATTTTCATGCGACCAAATATGTTTATTATGAAAATTTACCACTCCACGTCTAGTGAAGCATGACTCATCGGTCCATAAAACGTTACTTAAAAACTCCCTATTATTATCACTTCTATCGAGAATCCACTGACAAAACTAAAACTAAATTTCGTGCATTCACAATTGCAAAAAAACGTTTCAGATTTCAACAGACAACAAAACTAACTGTCAACTAATTGACGTTTAACCTTATTCTGCTTTCAATTTCAAAAATATTTGCAGGCACAGCCTACTTCTAAAAATTATCGAGATACTGACTTTTTAACGTTATTTTATCATAAATAATTAAAAATGCATCGAACCTTGAAAATCGAAATATCTCAAAAAACGGCTAACTATAACGAAAATTCACAAGAGAGCTTTTTTATGTTGAAAACGAATCAGTTTTTTCATTCAAAAAGCAAAAAATTGCACTAAGAAAAAATTTTCGGTCACTTTAATACACTACAGGTACAGTCGAGAGCGCCCTCTAGCGGCCTCAGTAAAACCATGGTTCGTTTTGTCGTACCAAAAAACCCTCGTATACCAATTTTTACTGTTATACATCAAATATTGTTCGAAATATTTAAAAAAAAAACTATTTTAGAAGGTAAATTTAAATACCCTGTATTTCGGAAGCCACGCATTTTTCGACCCATGTTCATATAGACTTTAAGCATTAATTTTAAAAGTTCTATCGAATCTTAAAGATATGCAACAATAAACTGAAACACCCTGTATAGTTCATTTTCTGATAGAACGTTTGAGCACAATATGGTGATAATAGTTTTGTTCACTGTAACTGACTTTTGGGGCTCTGCATAAGCCATCTCTGGAATACTAACTTAGAGCTTGCCTTGTTGCATACCACAATAACACTGGTGTTATATACAGTTTTTGCAAGCAACAGATTTTGTTTGATTGTGGATTGCTCTATCCTTTCTTAATTTACCAGCATGTTTACCGTTCTTTATGTTCTGATCTCCCAACACATTTGCTTTGTTTAATTTTCGCATGGCTGGTGCCACTTTCTTTTTCTAAGCAACATCATTTCCAGGTATTTTTCGAATCACAATGATAAGCTCATATAATTATTACTAATTTTTTCAATATGTATGCATACGTTTTGATTATCTCAGATTGGCTGCTTGAAGAACGGTTAGGCGCGCTAACTTAAACTACGCCTTTCTCTTAACTTACTTGTAAGTCTCGGAAGTCTCCTTAGCAACATTAGGTGCATCGACAGGCATTTTCTTACTTCTTCTCAAATCAGAAATGACATTTTTGAATTCATCACACTTGAGAAAACCATCCTTATCACGATCGTAATACCTAGAACGTAATGTAGTCCCATCTTAAGCATTTTACACAAAGTTTTGGGTAGATTCAAAGATCTACAGCACTGTGTCGCTTCATAATAACAGGTATTTTAAGTCTTTGCGGCCAGGTTTATCTTTTTATTATGGAAATGTATATTTTACATTAAATATATATTGAATTAATAGTAGTTAATATACAGGGTATCCTCAAATTTGGGGCTTTCCTTTACAGAGAGTATATGTCAGGAATAATAAGCATGTCTTTTTAGTATCATATATACCCAAGCTTTAACATAACCGTGATATAAGGTTCCAAAAAACAATAATAAATGAGCCTGTATAACCCTGCCTCATCTCCGACAATCCCGTCCTAGAGCAACGTATGTATGTACTAAGACTATGTGAGACAAAAAACAAAAGGTGTCGCGTGGTGTCTAAGTTAAGTTGGTTGATCCGCATACCATATTTGAAAAACCGAAATTGGCACACTCCTAGAGCAATAACCTAGTTATCAATTTGACAGGAGCATCTTCAAGGTCCTATTGATACTCCACGAGTGTACTCAGAACGTCGCCGTCAACCTCGATGTTTCCTTCCATCCGACCTGCATATATTTGTTTATACCGTACAGAAGCATACATTTGAAGATCTAAATAGCCCCAAATGTTGCAAACTTACGAATAGGTAAACAAAGCCGTGCTTTTGAATCAAACAGCAACAAATTCAAACAATGTTTGTTTACAATCAAAACATGTGACAGGGAAGTGCCTGAACTTCCTTACCAAATGAATAGGGATTATTTTCTTAGTTCTTCCTTTTACGTTTCCGGTGTGTTTAGCTTTGGTATTTTGCAAACGTAGTTGCCTCTGAAAAGGAAAGTCACAACTTTCAAGGCACCCTGTATATGACCAAACGGCACACAGTGTCACACAGCCCGTCATCATGGGTACCATAGATGACAACACTGGCTAGAATCACAAATCAGACAGCATCCGGACTGGTAACACACTAAACGGTCCTGCCGTTTACACTCCCAGTGATGCCCAAGCTGTGCTAAAGTCGCTTTAACATAATGTATATGTACCTGTATGGTTGTTATTCTGCAAGATGTGGTCTTTTCAGGAAACTATCGAGCACTTATGATACACCAATATATGGCAGAAATTAAGGCTCTTAATATTTTTTAACTGTACTTGTACTACACCGAGATAGAAAATGAGTAATGACAGGATTGCTAACTGCAAGTAGGCGAGCAGCTAAAATATCCCATTATTTGATTTAATTTCACAAAACAACCTTTGTTATGTATGATGCCACAGGTCCCACGTCGCAAACAGCTGAGCTATTTTGTTGGCATTACTCATGAAAGGCCTAAGTCATAGGCAACCGGTAGTAATCGTGGTAACGTCATAATATAACCAACAGCCTAGTAAATTGACTGTGAACTGGTGGTCATCCCAGACCAGCAGGCTGCAAAGGGTCAAGAAATATGGGTCTCTTCTACTAAACATTCTGCTTTCGTCCGCTCAACCAAGCTTCGTGCTTTTTGGCAACTCATCAGCATGGTCCGGGCTTGACCTCTTCGGCAACAAATGAAAGGATAGCAAATGATATCTATGGTAATCGCATGTATTACCAGAATCGATCGCTGCGAGTGTTTATAGCAGGTATCGGTTGACGATCACAGTTCGCTTTTGATAGCTCAGTCACCACTGCGACCGCTAGGTGGCTGATGATTCTGGCAGTACAGCAAGTATAGTCTACTCACTATTGAACAACTAAACAGGATGCTTTCATGCGCAAGCTTAGTTGTTTATAGTTCCAGCCGGTACCTGCTATACATTCTAGCAGTGGTTGATTCTAGTAGTAGACGGCGCTTAGCATTCTCTTATTTCGATAGTCTGTTCTAGTTTGAAATACCCAACTGAAAGTTCCTTCGAGAATTGCGTGGTTGTTATATGACAACGTCTGGTAATCAGAGATTTACCTAAACATGAATCTACAACGAATTTCCGCAGCAGCTCCTCCATGTGAAGTGTTTGGATCCACGGTTGCCAAGAAATACAGAAATTCTCTGAACGATAATCCATATCTGTTCTTTATGTCCGCAGAGCTAAAATGATAGATGGATAAATATGCTTTATTGTCTGAAGAATACAATCACTCTTGATGACAAGGATAGAATTAGAATTAAACTATAACAATAATTACATTGGATCGTACGTAGGTGAGCTATAGAACTCATACATGGTGTAATATGGGTTACATATTAAATGGTTTTTAAGTTCCCGGCAGTATATCTTTAAATTGTTAATTATTTTGATACCATCGTGGAGACACATGTAAATGTTTAGACTGTCATAAATGATATAATCTTTCACAAGCGTTGACTTGGGTACTACTAATTTAAGGTCTCGTTTTCGTCTAATATTGCAACTTATATTTAATGTTTCAAATTTCGATCTATTTCTAAAAATAAGAGTTTCCGTTTCCAAAATGAACAATAATACTACTGTCACTATTTTTAAGAATCACAAATAAAGGCGTGCGTGCAGCTCTAGGATTGGTTTTAGTGTTATAACTAATAGTCGTTTTTGTATAATAGGCACTTAAACAATTTTTTTCAAAGACACACCAAAAGGGAATGCTGTATCTCAACCTACTTTCAAATAAGGCAAAGTAACTGATTAAGGCTGTGCTTTTCCCTACGTTCTAACTAATAATTCTTATAATAAAGGGAATCTCAACTAGTTGAGTAATTTGTCTACATGATTAGTAAAATCTAATTTATGATCAATGGTCAGTCCCAAAAATTTGATGGTGTCTGTTTTGTGTACTAACTCATTATTTAAATTTATAAAATCAAGGGAGCATCTAAAAGTCATAAATTTTGTCTTATTAAGACTGAAAGTCAACTAAACGCTGTCACACGGTCTTTTGATTGATTGTACGTCACTATCAATTTTTGTTTTGAGTTATTTTATATACTCGTATGTGTCTTGCCAAAGTATAGTGGTATCATCAGCAAAAATTACGAATTTACCATTTATTTTTAAGTTTATTAAATCCGACCTAATAACGATCCTTGACGTATCCCTACGTTTCTATCTAATTGAATTGAAATATGTCTTGATAATTTTAAAATTTGGGATCGGTTATTTAGTTAATATTAAGCAATTTAAGATTAAGCCTTAGATTGCACCGTGTCACAGGATACACTGGTCTCGATTGATAGTAAAACGTAATCTAACTTAATTTACAATGACTTGAATTTGAACCAATACGTACATTAGTCGTGGACGCCTGTTTCTTATTTATACGAGTAGAGAACGTGTTAAATATTTCTGCATCTTATAGTCAAAGTCCGCGAGGTGGTTCCACCTCGATCAACTACGTATACAGAGGAGACTACACATTTACTTTTCTCAACCCTGCACAAATATTGGCATTAGGTAGTCTCCAATTGCTTCTTAGATTTGGGTTTTCTGCAAGTATGTGCGCCTATAGAAATTACGACTGATACATACAAATTTCTATCCCAGCGTATATATACATATTTCCTTGAACTAAGAACCTGTGATCTCGAATCATTTGTCATAATTGTAAAGAATCTCGTGCTCTTAAACAATAGCACTGTTCTTTTGGTATTATAGACTGTGTTGAGCCTAAATTGCTGAAGAGCATAAAGGATTGTCTTAAAAAATTACATCCCTCACAAGTACTTACGTGAACAAAGAAATAGCCGCCTCCTTGGGCCATCCTAGGTCAGGGATTAACCTGGAAAATACCCTAACATTCATATAATTTGCAGGAAAGCACCAGCCAACAAATTCTTTCAGTAAAGATTCTTGAGCTGTAAATGGATACATAAGCTTGAGTGAAATTGTGTACATGGCATTCCACTAAGAACTGCGGCCGCGGATTACTCGGAAAATATGCCTCAGAGGATTGCATCCATCTGTGCAAATAAATGCTTGTAAAGTGTACAAATAAATTCAAGCATGGATGAGCTGATATTATGTGTAATAAGATGCGTACGCTTAATGCAAATAAAAAATATGAATGGACTGGCGTCAACTGGAAGGCGGTTGGTGAAGAGCTGGAGGAACTCAGAGCACTCATCGTTAAAGTTCAGAACCACATCACTGAGCTCAAGGCAGGGAATACTCGCAGAAGTTGGTATGATAGATCTAATTGCTGGCAGAATCGGAAAAATAACGTTATGTTGCTTAATGTCGCTGATCAGGGTCAGAGTATTTCCTTATCTAAGGAACATGCTTTAGATAAGAATACTGTTGTTGAAATACCCTCATTCCTAGGTCATATTTCACTCAGATTAACATCAGAATTGGGTGCCCCGTCAACTCAAAAATGCGAGCTATCGATGTGCTGGATAATACTCACGCTGCGCTCAACATTTTGAGAAATGCCAAGAGGTTAAAATCGAATAATGTCCACAAAAACATAATTATTTCTGCAGATTGCACCAAAAGACAAATCGAAGATATAAATGGAGAACTTGACAATCAACATAATTATTCTGGTGTCTCAGACAGTAGACACCTCCAAATTTGAAGTTCTTTTTCCGGGGATACTATTTCTTGTAAGTGTTTTGTATCCTTTTACACCTTCGACGTAGCAGTTATTTATAGTACTGCGCTTGAAGACATTTTTCTGACGTCAAACAACTTCAAAAAGGCTGCATGATATGAGGATTTGCTGTTTACTGCTTTCTGATTTTTGGGAAAAAAACCTTAGGAATAGATATCCTGTTTGGCATACAGCTGAAATTGTAAAACTAGTTCAGGAGAAGGCTAAATTGCAAAGCAAATTCAATCTTACACATGATGCTGATATTTATCAAGACTTCAATTGACTAAGCAGAAGATAAAAAAGGTCATGATCAGTACCCAGGTAGAATTCAAAATCAGTTAAAACATAAGCCAAAGTCGTCAAAAAGGTCTGATGGAACTGAAGTCTCGTGATCCTAAAACCATGTATTTACTCTCTACCTCATATTACTGATGAACAGCTTACTTTTGACTTTCAGTGAAAATTTTTTTGATATCATCTGGGAAGCGGTAAAAGAAGACAAAGTTTTAAAAGGTGGACAGAAAATCAAGTACTTTTGTGCCAGATCAAATACTATCTTTCTTTCTTGAAGACCTCATAGCAGTGCTGATACGTCCGCTTCGTGTATTATTCATATGGATCTTGGATACATCGGTTTCTCATGACACGTTCCAAAGCCAAGCTTCTAGTATAGTCACTGACTATAGGGGAATATCAATTTTGAACAGTTTCGCTATAGAAATTTGCTAAAAATTGTATATCCATTTGTCAACACAAATTGATGAAATCTCGGCCATCTGTTAGCACTTAGACGGTATTCTCAATTTCCACGTGAAACAGTGTACAGCAGGGGTTAAGCAACGTACGAGTATACAGATTTTTCTCTTGGAAAGATCGGTCATGAGTTTTCAAGAATCTTCGCTATCCATACTCACAGAGAACTTACTTATTGTGATTACAATCATATTTATCGGACATACAGGAATATGTCTGTGTGAAGAATGTGATTTCGGAGGAACTCACTGCGACTATCAGTGTGCCGCAGGGATGAAAATTGGAAACTCTTCTGTTGCCACTGAATATCAATGATTTGTGTGATTGACTTTCATGTCATAAGCTAATATTCCCGGATGATTCAAAAATATGTACATCAGTATCCAGTGAAGAAGGATTTATTATTTTACAGGAACAAATCACTTTCCTATATAACTCATGTTGCAGAAATCACTTGAACGTGATTATTTCTAACTGCAAAATAGTGACTTTCAGTCCTAGCTACATATTATCTTACGGGTACACTGTTGGCGATTCAGCGCTAGTAAAAGCTGATTCCATTAGAGATTTAGGTGCCTATAAGGATGATCAGTTGATATGTATTGTATGTCAAATAGCGCTGCGTCTTTGTGCGTTACCACCGAGAGTACAAGGCCGAACAACTGGGCTCTGAAAAGCCTGTGACGTCACGCAGAGTAGGCCTATGCATGTTCTTATGGAGTTTCGCGATGACTGGCTGGCAAGAGAACCGCGCCACCATTTCTCTGGGGTGTTGTCATATTTAGGTTTGATACAGCAGTAGCGGAATCTCTACTAATTAGGTGTACCTCTCTGTGGGCGAATTTGCAAGATGTACTCGGGCCCTGCGCAGCTTCAGTGATGATGTGATTATTCTTTCTGATCTGCCTCAGTATGACAAGAATACATTTTCGATATTACGTTCAATCTGTCACTTGTGAAGTCTAATATTCCATTCAAAATTGGAATATGTGGCAACCCTGCCAACTAACGTCACACTCTGAGCCTCATCTTTCTATGCTATGTAAACTGAAAGTTATTGATGTTTTAAACTTATATTTGTGTCTCGCGATTGTTTAGCTAAGTTTGCAAAATGCCTTACAAGTGCTGCGTTCCTAATTGTGTCGGTAATTACGGGAAGGGTCCGAAGGTACACGTATTTTCGTTTCCATTGAACGAAAACTGTCGTAAAAGATGGCTCAATGCAATCCCTCGTAGTGATTTAGTGGTTACAAAATACACCTGAGTCTGTAATTTGCACTTTGCTGAGGACAGCATCATTTGGGAATCCACCTTCCATGACGAAAAGACAGGTAGGACCATTACTGTACCCCTTAAGTATCCAAAATTAAAGGCAAATGCAATTCCAAGTATCTTTGCAAATTGTCCAAAATACCTTTCAAAGGACATATCAAGCAGAAGAAGCCGAGTGAGAAATTGAGGGACAAGGAACAAGAACAACTACTTAAAGCACTGCAAACTAGCACTGATGTTTATTCCTCCTATCAAAAATCAACTTGTTTTCAAAATTATTTAGACTTCTAGACTTCCTCACAGTTTTCAGTTCATGACAATGTCGATATGGGTGGCATAAAATTGTTCAGGATAAAGTTACTTTGTTTAAGTTAGAATATAAACCAGCACCCATCATAACTCACTCTGTAATTGTTGATAAAGATCTCAATGTAAAAACGTATATGTACTCCAAAGAATTGTTACTCAACTCAGGTAATATCAAAACTCCATTTTAATTATCTAATATACACTACTTGGATGATGTTCTGCATGTTCTTTCTGAGAATGCAGATGCTCCGAGGGAATATTCAGGTAAAGACCAGTTCAGAGCCACTATCAACCATACTTACAATATTTTAAATAGCACAGAACTATTCACCAATGAAGAGACCCACACTGTCATTCAATTTATTTGTGAGCAACTAAAGCTTGCTATTAGTCAGAAGAACAGACGCAGTTACTCATCAGAAACAATAGTGTTTTGCTCTATGTTGTATACAATCAGTCCACATTCATATAGATTTATTAGGAGCCATGGAGCACTTATTTTACCACACCAAAATACTCTGAAGTCAATATGTAATACATTGATGGTCGATACAGTTCCTGATGAGAGATATAACTTTTTAGGCTATGCAAAAAACCTTTCCAGATTTGTAATTCCTGGTGAGGAGTACATGATTTTATTGATGGATGAAATACACTTTCAGCCATATTTAGATTTCAAAGGGGGTAATATTGTTGGAAGTGCTGGAGAATTGTCAGTGTAAAAAGTCCATTGAAAGGAAGGCGGTTAAATGACCTTTATGCTATTGTTTGCTCCAACAGTGGTGGATAAGGTGATGACAGTAAGCTGACATTCTTGCAAAAAATGCTAAAATGCTAGATTGGCTAGAAGTGTGGAATGATCCAGCAAAACTTTCATAAAGACTAACTAGTCAGACTTACACTGCACTACATCATACAGTATATGGGTTATTGGAATTAGTAAGGTACTGTAAATCTGAACCGCACACTAATTATATATTGTTAGGTAAATTTCAAACGGACTCATTCGAAAATAGATTTGGTAAGTATCGTCAACTGGCAGGGGTCAATATAAGGGTGGTCCATAAGTCCTTTGAAATTTCAAATTTGAATAAAATTTAACGGGTGAGCGTGAGCGGCGCGGGCGAGGTGGGGGCAGTATCTTCAGTGTCTGGGAATTCAGTCGCCATGGAGTGTTTCACTGGAGCGGATCGTGCTTTTTGTGTGCGCGCGTTTTATCAAAATAATGATTCGGCAACCATTGCGCGGCGTAAATATCGAGAATACCACAATTTACACAATTTTACAAAGTGTCCAACAGCTCAAACGATTAAGAACTGGGTTGCTAAGTTCGAAGAGACTGGTTCGACGTTAGATAAACAGCGGTGGGGTCGACCAAGGAGCACTCGTATTGAAGAAAACATCAACATTGTGGCACAGTCTGTTCGTCAAAATCCTACCCAGTCTACTCGTAAGCGTTCCAGTGCACTAAACGTACCCAGAACATCTTTACAGCGGATTTTAAGGAAAGATTTACGTCTGCACGCTTACAAAATTCAGTTAGTGCAGGAATTAAAATATAATGACGCTATTCAGAGACTAAACTTTGCGAATGAAATGTTGAATCGATTTTCTTCGCTCAATAATGTGTTGTTCTCGGACGAGGCTCACTTCCATTTAAACGGGCATGTAAATAAACAAAATTGCCGTTACTGGAGCCCCGAAAATCCAAGGCGTAAGCATCAGAAGCCCTTACACAGCCCTAAAGTTACAGTTTGGGCTGCTATGTCAGCGCATGGCATCGTAGGCCCTTATTTTTTTGAGGACGACAGAGGTCGCGCATTAACTGTTACTTCGGAGCGGTATGTAGCAATGATAGAAGAGTTTTTGACACCAGCGTTGCAGAATTTTCCAGGCTATAATACGCAGACCTGGTTTCAACAGGACGGAGCAACTGCCCACACCTCCAACACTTCTATGCCCGTCGTCTGTCAACTTTTTCCCAGCAAAGTAATTTCTCGAAGAGGAGACATTTCCTGGCCACCACGTAGTCCAGATTTGACCCCAATGGACTTCTTTTATGGGGCTATCTCAAGAGTAAAGTGTACGACACCACTCCGCGATCAGTTGATGTCCTGAAAGAAAATATCCGAAGAGAAATGGCAAGCATTACAGTGCTGACTTGCCGCGCAGTCATCGACAATTTTAGATGTCGTTTATATGAGTGCCGTGATCGTAATGGATTGCATTTAGACGATGTGATTTTTAAAACATAATTCCCATTCAATAAAGATGATAACAAAATATAATAATTCTTCATAATGTAACTGGTTTGGTTTTATTCCTTTTTTTCCAGCTCAAAGGACTTATGGGCCACCCTGTATATCAATTCGTCAGTTATATGAATCTGAGAAGAATGTACGAACTCAAAGCCTGATGTTATTGAAGTCTCGCTATGGTGATATACAAATAGATAAATTATGTGAAAATGATGATTTAGAAATGGATGAAATTCCACACAATTTTAATGATTACCACTTTTTCCGGGAAATTGAAATTTTACAGTGTGATATTGATAGTATAAAGGATGAAATCCCTGTCATCACCTACTTAGCTGGTTACTGTTGGTATGCCTTATTAAAGAAAAATCACTGTGATCATTGTAAGGAAAATTTGACACACACAGATGATATTAATATAGGAGACAAGCACAATATTATACAGAATTTGAGTAGAGGTGGCTTAAAATTCCCAAAGGATCCAGTTATTAATATTGTCATGCTAAGTTATATAATTTTCAATAAAGTTTGAGGTACGTCACGCCGTGCTGTCGGCCGGCCGACCGGCCTACTCGTGGTGACGTCACGCGTCTGTTGTCAGGTTGTACTCTCGGTGGTAACGGTTTGTGGCATATCTGTATACATTTTTATTGTTATGAATTGCAGTGCATCGGCGTTATTTAAGTAGAAAAGAAAATTTTTAAGTTCATAGCTGTTGAAATCACTGCAGTGTACTCTACTCAAGGTTGTAGTTATACTGAGCTACTACAAACTTTGGGAAGAACTAGATATTATTTATCGGTACTGCTCTTCCATAAAATTTAGAATGGCAAGATCGATTATCCTGAATTGTTAGCTCAGGTAGGTATTCTGGATATCAGGATATCATCTAGGCTCTAGAATTATATTCTCATCGTACCTAGTTTATCAATCCCAGAAGCCTCAACCAATTGATGGTGAGTTGATCCTTTTCCGGTAACAATGATATCATCACAGGATTCACAGAAGTTATCTCTAGTCATGTATTCCTCAGGTCGATCTATGCCTAGGTTTGATTTTTTTAACAATCCAAAATACTCAACAATTTCAGGACTCTTCAAATTGTGACTGGTTAGCAGTTTCGCCAAATCTGCTTCTGCAACCCATCTGACTTTTCCTCTATACTAAAAACATAAAGTCAAGTTTATTACTTGCAGATTATAATGCATCTATCTATGTGTTGAAGGGGCATGGGATTCTACGAGATGGAAGTCAAAATCATTTAGTTACTAGTATTTTCATGGGAACCGTGTTTTATCTGTTCAAAAGATGATAATAACACAACCAGTGGTTATGTACTAGTGGTACTAATATCAATTTGTTTGATTCTTACTTTGCCCATCGTATTCTTTGACTTGTTCTTGACCCCAGGATCTACCGTAGTAGCAAATACTACATGAATCACATAGTTTATTGTTGCATGTCTGGGTAGATACACCTTTGTAACCTTTAACACTTTATCGATTGTCATAATACCAAAGATCTGAAAGAAATAAGACATGTTCTTCTCCTATTAGGGTTGCAAGAACGTTTGCATGTACCGTGTTTTTACACATCATGTCGTGTTGCAAGAATACTGTCAATGTTCTTGCTACGGTTACACAAGTGGAATGGGAACACCTAATAAGACACCTCAGTCGTTTAAAAGATTGCTGCTAGCTATACAACACATATGTAAACACCCTTGCAGCTGCTGAAAGTACTATTTTATACGTATTGTTGAAGCGAAATAAGAAATATCTTCAAACTAACACACTATTCTGGCTCTTCGTGAAACGAAGGCACACTCACTATATATATATATATATATATCTTACAATGTAGTGTCGCAATTTTGACGAGTGCCATATTTCATGCATGTTCTAACAACGGCCAAAAATATGTACACATTTCCAAAATTAAATTAAGTTCTTTTCTGTTTTCGACTTTCAATAATACTTTACGCTTAAAAATGTTTCAATTACTGTCAAAAACTATGACAGCTCTTTCTGTAATGAAAACATGCCGTTTTAAGTAGTCAACCCTGTTTGCAATCTTTTGGAACAACCGTCACGATTCTAACTCCTTTTCCAGTTTTGACTAGGTATTTTGATTCAACATCCATGTTTGTTGTATAAAATCCTGAGGAAGTTATTTAAAAAATGAAGAAAACTTGACACAACTGAGGGTTTTATTCTCTCTATGACCGTTTAATCATCCCAATAAACGTTATTCAATGCCCGACGTTTTGTCTTTCAGAAAATTAGAAGTATCTGGCAGTGCTTGGATGTTAATTCACACATATAAAAGCAATTTGACAAGCACGCATATAACTGACTGATTTAAGTTGCGCGCCATTTTTGATACACGCATTTCAGTAGGTGGCGCCGTAGTAGTTGTTTAAAGCACATGTGTCCAATTCATCATGGAGCGCTCTACGATCCCACAACGCGTCCGTATTGTTGAAACGTTTTACTTGAATAATGAGTCGATTGTTGCAACAATTCGGAAGCTACGACAAGATTTCCGTCGAAATAATATGCCCAGTGTCAACATCGTTCGTCAGTTGGTGCGGTACAAACTGGTGAAGTTAAAGACTTGCCAAGGTGTTCGAACTTTTCACCGGAAACTATCGAGAGAGCTTGTGAAAGTGTAGTGGAGCGCCCTGAGACGTCTACCAGACATCGTTCTCAAGAACTGGGTATTCCTCGCACGTCATTGTCGTATCTGGTCATTAGAGAACCCTTGTGTCATCCATCAACGACCACCTCATCCTCGTCGAGTCACAGTTTAGTGCGGTGTTTGGTATGGAGGTGTCATTGGACCTTATTTCTTTCAAGACGCTGCAGGTAAATTCTCTTACTGTCATTGGCGAGCGCTACCGTGATATGGTGTTAATGGGAATTTTTGAAAAATAGGGTTTAAGCCAACAAACCAAATACTGTAGAGCAGCTGAAGAACAATATGACGGAAGCAATTGGTAATATTCCCCCCGAAACCTACCAAAAAGTGATGGAAAATATTATCAAGAGGGCTCAGGTTTGCGCTGCTTCTAAGGCGGACATTTGTCCGATATAAGTTTAAATAAAAGATTAAGAGGCAAACCAGTCAGTTACATATCGGCCACCCTGTATCAGTTAGATACTAGTATAGTGATACCTCATGTGATATGAAAAAATGAACTTGACCTAAAGTTAATGAGACTCGCGGCTTCAAGGTATAAAACTTATTCTAACAAATACCTACATCAAGAACTTCCTTCGCAACAGCTTTCTCCCAAGATTGTCCTGCAGGGACTTTAACGCTAGGCAGCCAATGTTCAGAATTTTCTACGGTAAGCATCAATGTACTATCCATGGCACAAAACACTGCAGCGGATACAACGTCGCATAATTCATCAGAATTCCTGAACATAGCCATGTTTCAATGTTGTAGTTGGCTAGTTCTTCACGCCATATCGTTATCTGAATACAAATTGAAAATTTATAGAATCTGTTCTTTGTGTTACGTTTGTCACACCGACATGTAGACTAATGTTGTCAGATGAGGTGAGACAGAAGCAGTCTCTTGAACGATCCTTGACCTCTCGGCCCACTCTTCGCCTCAAAATGTCAGTTTGGAGTAAGATGAAAGTAGTGCTTCTCAATATATTGCAAGTTAAGAGGTCTGTAAACAGTGATAAAGCTGATTCTTTTATCTAGCTATTCAAATTTAATTACATTGGTGTTTGCTATATTAACTACTACACTTGCTCTTTTTATTCGCTCCAACACAAACAGGAAATATTGGTAAAGACCACACATAAAAATATCAACCAAGGATCACCGGGAAGAATAACAAAATATATATTGCCACACCTGTTTGCAGCTGCAGATCCGACACGGAAGAGGTTGCAGAAAATTAATTCTGGAAATACTTTTTTGACTTCTAATGTCAAAAATTAGGACAAGCTAAAAAAAGGTTTCCTGAATCTTTAGTCTGAATATGGAGGAACACTCTAAAAAGGATGGAGCTGTTGAGGGAGTGGGGAGTGTGGTCTCACTGAGTGAAAAGGGATTTTGTACAGAGGAAGTTTTGAAACTAAAAGATTATACCATTTCGATTCAAGAGAAATTAGTAAAAGAATTGTACGAAAAGATAGACCAATTGAACAAAAAAATTGTGAAGATGCAACAGCCGTCACAAGAAGCAATTACAACTTACGCTGATATGGTTAAAGCTTCAGGGCCTTCAACCGTTAATTCACCTACAACAATGGTAGAATATAAGCAGCAATTTTTACCATTGCAAACACGTACAGCAAAAAAACAATCACCAGTATTAAAACCCACAAATACAATCATTGTTAAGCCTAATAACCAACAAGAGTGTAATAACATAAAGAAAGACATCGCACAATTTGTGAATCCTACCAGTATCGAAAATGCTATTGAAAAAGTTTATGAATTGATGGATGGTGGGGTGAAAATCCAATGTCAAACAAAAGATGATAACGCGAAGCTACATAAAGAAATACAATCAAACATGCCAGAAACATATACAGTGAAAACTTCAGAGATAAGTAAAAAACCACAAATCAAAGTTATTGGATTTTATCAAGAATATGCAGAAGACGAGCTAATAAATACTATGAATCACAAAATGAATCTTTTCAAGGAAACTCATATATGAGAATAATTACAGTCAAGAAAATGAAAACTAAATATCAAGCAATTTTAGAAGTGGATGCTGTGACTTTTAAGTGTGTTATGAATAAGGGTGTTATTTTTATCGACATGTCTGTTTGCTCTGTTTTCGAGTACATCAATGTTTTGCGATGCTATAAATGTACCGGATTTAACCACACAGCTAAATACTGCACAAAATCAGGAAGATGTAGTACTTGTGGATTAGAAGGACATTCAACAGAAAACTGTAGTACCAGTGAAATGTACAAATGCTGTCCAAATTGTAAAAGTGCAAACCAGGATTTTAATCTAGGATTACCTATTAATCATGGACCATTTGACAAAAAATTGTGAAGTATATAAAAGCAGAATTGAGCGTGAGATTGAAAAAAATAGTTATGCAAATGAATGGCAACTACTAAGCCCAGATTTGCAAGACGTGGCTAAATCTGGAAGTGATGAATATAACTCAATATACCATTTAAACATACAAGGAGTCCTGAATAATATAGATGAAGTTCAACAGTTTTTAGGATGGAGAAAACCACTTGTATTATGTCTTACCGAAACACATGCTACAGAAGACATCACTGATGGTGAATTACAAATTACAAATTATAAAACCTAAAGATGCAACTCCAACTCCAGACATACTGGAGGTGTAGTGATTTATGTTAACCACAAAATACAGATCACATTATTCGATTGTACCACTTTAGACTATGCATACTAGTATACACATATACAGTTCAAATTATTTGGGAAACGTATCTTTGTACTTTTTACCGTTCACCAAACAGTGATGCGGATACAATTTTAACGTTTTTTAAAGAAAAATGTGAAGAAATGTGGAATTTTAGAAACAATATAATACTTTTAGGTGGTTTTAATTTAAATTATTATGGTAAAAGCATGAAAACAAGAAAAACGAAAGAAACCATAAATAACTATGGGTTCAAGAAAAAAATTTTAGAGTGTACCAGAATAACATGATTATCAGAGACTTTGTTAGATCTTGTTATTGTAAATTTCGGATGTGCAGGGATTAAAGCTGTACATACACCTAAAGTTAGTGATCACAGTTGGACAATGCTGCCCTTGGTAGGGCATTTTTCTGATACAAAAATTAAGAAAATCGTAAATACTATTAAGTACGAAAACCTTGAACGAGAACTTGCTGACTGCTATTGGAATTTTGGTGAGAATATGGAAAAAATATGACAACATAATAGGAAACTTGTTTAGATCTTGCAACTGATAAAAAAGTGATTTGCTCGACAAAAAATACACCCTGGTATAACAAAAATATTAAGGCAGCTCAAAATTTGAGAGACAAACAATACAATAAATGTATATTCACAAAATCAAATGATGATTGGGAGGTATATAAAACTCTTACGAATAAATGTGTGTATGTAATTAGAGAAGAAAAAAGGAAATTCTACGATAAACAAATCGATAATAACAAGTGCGACAGTGTAAAGATGTGGAAGACTTTAAAAAGACTGATCAATTCGAAGCCGCATGATTGTGTAAATCAAGTTCAATTCGAAAACGGTACCGAAACAAATTCTTTGATGATTGCAAACAAATTAAATGAATATTTTGTGGAAAGTATTGTTGATATTGTGGGTACTGCCCATACTGCACCTGACTATATGAAAATCAGTTTCCAGGGGGAAATGTTGCATACACTTTCAAAATTTCACAGTGTATCATTGAATTACCTAAGAAAAAAAGTAAACAGTTTAAAATCAAATAACAACTGTGCCGAAATCACTACTAAAAACGTGCTGAAAAACTGTTTCGAAATTTTGGGATATCCTGTATTAAATTGGATCAATTGTTCACTGAGAAGCAGTTCTTTTCCTGAAGATTTGAAACGCTCTAAAATAACACCAGTTCCCAAAATAAAAAATTCTAAAAGATGCAGCGATATGAGACCAGTAAATGTGTTACCAGACATTGAAAAATTATTAGAGTCCATAGTGCATGACCAATTAATGCAGTTTATAGAAGAAAACAAAATTTTAGTGGAGGCGCAAGCAGGCTTTCGAAAAAAATATTCCACAGAAACGGCTTTCCAGTTGGTAACTGAGAATTGGGGAAGAGCCATAGACTCAGAAGAAGTTGTCATAGCAGTATTTTAGGATTTGAAGAGGGCATTTGAAACGATTGATAGAGATGTTTTGTTAGATAAATTGAAGGCATATGGTATAACAGGAAGTGTTTTAGATTGGTTTAGAAATTATTTGTCTAAGAGGATACAAGTTACAAAATTTAATGACACTATTTCATCAAAAATTGAAAATACGTTGGGTGTTGCACAAGGCAGTATCCTGGGGCCACTTCTTTTTATTTTCTACATAAATGATTTACCTGCCATAGTCAGAAAATGCAAAATTCATATTTTCGCCGATGACACTATGATTTATATAAGTACTAAAAATATTCAGTCTGGTATCTCTTATATAAATGAAGACTTGAAACTTGTCTCAAAATGGTTAGCATCTAACAGTCTAAAATTAAATACAAGTAAAACGAAAGCCTTGTTAATCGGAAAAAAACAATGTACAAATGTTTAACTGAATATTGATGGTGAAGATATTGAATTCGTAGAAAATTTTTAATACCTGGGGGTTTTTGTTGACTCTCAATTAATTTTTGATATTCATTACGAAAAAGTTATAAATAAGATTAGTAGTAAAGTAGGATATTTATCGAGAGTTTCTGGATGTCTGAGTTCATATAGCAGAAAAATTATCTATAATACCATCATTCTTCCAAATTTCTTGTACTATTCGACTATTCTATATTTAGCAAATAATTCCATTTTTGAAAGACTGCAAATTTTACAAAATAAATGCATGAGAATAATACTGAATAAAGATAAATATACTCCAATTAGGCAAATGCTTAGCAAATTAAAATGGCTCAATGTAAAAAAAATTATCAAATATCTTGTAATGATATTCATTTATAAAGTAAAAAATAATATATTTCCATCAAGTCTAACTAATTTAACATCATCAAATGTCGACCATCATTTACATAATACCAGAGATAAAGATGACTTCCATTTAATGACCAAAAAGTATAACATATGCTACAAATCTGTATTCCATCAAGGGTTGATTGAATATAATAAATTATACTCAGAGATAAAAGACCAGAAAACTTTGACAAAATTTAAAGTAAACTTGAGAAATCACTTGTTAAATCTACGATTATAGGTTGCCCAGCATTTACGTCATACACCATATGGCTTGAATTTACTAGTTCTAAGTTGTTTACAATTATTCTGTTTATGTAGCCAAATGTGCTAAATAAATCTTTCTTCTACTACTACAATTAATTTTAAATTGTCGCCCTCAAAATAACTTCTTTCTGACGCCACACAGCGCTGGAGACGGTTCTTCTACTCCTCATAGCAGTGCTGGAACTCCGATACTGGGATAGCCTTCGGTTACAGCCGTTTGAATGTTTTCAACTGCCCCAAAATAAGTTCCCTTAACGTCATTTTTCAGCCTCGGGAAGAGAAAAAAGTCACAAGGACTCAAGTCCGGCGAATAAGGGGGCTGATGAGCCACAGGAATGTTTTCACTGGCCAAATACTCCTTTATTGACTTTTCTATGTGACAAGGAGCATTATCGTGATGCAACACCCAGTTGTTTTGTATCTAATGAACGCTCGTGTGAGTCAAATTTAACTGTTTCCCTATCATTCTGACTGTAACCGACGATCTGAACGTATAAGATCCCGAATTTTGTCGATATTTTGTTTAGTTTTTGAGACGAAAGCCTTCCGCTTCGTGGTTCATCTTCAATCGACTCCCTCCATTCTGAAAATGCCTCAAACCACCGAAAAA